AGTGAAGCTATAGGGAACCAGAAAGGAGGCCTTCTCGGTAGTGGCACCCACCCTGTGGAATGCCCTCCCACCAGATGTCAAGAAGATGAGTAACTATATAAGCTTTAGAAGAACATCTGAAGGCAGCCCTGTATAGGGAAGCTTTTCAATGTGTAAAGTTTCATCATGTTTTTATATATGTTGGAAGCTACCAAGAGTGGTTGGGGCAACCCAGTCAGATGGGTGGGGTACAAATAATAAAATTCTAATTATTTTCTTCATAGAGTGTTAATCTTTGAATGGATCAGGTCATCCACTGTGAAGAGCAGCTACAAGTAGAACTCCATTAGCAGAATTGGCCACTCTTATAATGAGGTTCATGGAAAAGGGTGGAGCTGAGGCTCAGTCAAAAAGCCCCCTCCATGAGTTTCCTGGATTATTATCTGCCTTCCTAAAGTGGAGGCCATTTTTTTCTACTGCTTTCTAGTGGGCTGAGGGACTTCTCTGAACATTTCAGGGGATACCACTCACCTTCCTGGTTCCCACCAGGAAGTATGTCTCTCTAGGGAACCATAGTATCTGCTTTGAATGCAGGAGGTCCCAAGTTCAGCCCTTGGCTGAACACCCTGGAGAGCTGCTGCCAGCCAGTGTAGACAGTACTGAGCAGGATGCACCAATGGTCTGACTCAGTATAAGGCAGTTTCCTATGTCTTTCTGCCCACAAGTGCTTGGGTTGTTTTTTTCCAGCTCTGCCTCCCTGCTCCTCAGCTGCCAGCCAGGCCAGGGAATTGCGGTGGGGGGATCACATCAAAGGGTGATTGTTTGCTTCTGCCTGTTTGAAGTTGGCTGCTCGCAGTTGGCATGTGGAGTGCAGCCCCCGCTCCTCAGCTCCCACAATGAACCCTCATTGCCTTGCTCTTAAATTATCAGAGACACCTGCACCCACCAATTTCCATCTTTTATTCATGCTCTCCTGCCCAAGCAGAGGCAGGCGGACACCTTCCAAAATACAAAACGGGAGAAATCTAGAATGGGAGCAAGCAGGAATCTTTTTGTGGTCAATTGCCGCATTCCCATCTAGGCAATCTTATGAAGGCCATATGTCGCTGGTAGGCAGGACAGGGCCGGAGACAAAGGTGGGTGGAGCAATTCATGCTAATTTCCCCTTTGTACAGTAGGCTAGTTTCTACTGTCCCACTTTTCCTTAAATGTAAAGGGACCCCTGACCATTAGGTCCAGTCGCAGACGACTCTGGAGTTGCGGCGCTCATCTCGCTTTACTCGCAGAGGGAGCCGGCGTACAGCTTTCGGGTCCTGTTGCCAGCATGACTAAGCTGCTTCTGGCAAACCAGAGCAGCGCACGGAAACGCCGTTTACCTTCCCGCCGGAGCGGTACCTATTTATCTACTTGCACTGCATGCTTTCGAACTGCTAGGTTGGCAGGAGCAGGGACCGAGCAACGGGAGCTCACCCCATTGTGGGGATTTGAACCGCCGACCTTCTGATCAGCATGCCCTAGGCTCTGTGGTTTAACCCACAGCGCCACCCGCGTCCCTCACTTTTCCTTAGGACGTCCCTATTTTCATCAGAGAAATGTTGGAGGGTATGGAGTTATTTGACCCCTGAGCCAAGGAGATACAACCTTTAGAAAGCAACTGAAGGCACCTATGTGTAGGGAAGTTTTTTAATGTTTAATGTTTTATCATGTTTTTATATATGTTGGAAGCTACCCAGAGTGGCTGGGGCAACCCGGTCAGATGGATGGAGTATAAATAGCAAAATTGTTGCTGTTGTTTTTGTTGAATAGGACATCCCTATTTTCATCAGAGAAATGTTGGAGGGTATGTAAAGTTTGTGGCCTGTGGAGAATCACACCAGCTCTCCAGCCAGGTGGTGCAGAAGCAAAAATAATTAACAAAGAACCCACTGCCCCCAATCTTGGGAACTATAATTTGTTAAGGTGCTTGGCACAGTAGCTTTGTGAGGGCTGAACTACAATTCTCAGGATTCTTTGTGTGGAGGGTGGGGAGAGAAATGTATGTTAATTGTGTATGGAGAGGTGTATGGAGAGGATGTGACCTCAATAAGCCTAATGTCAATTAAAATGCAAACTGATCTAAATGTCTCCTCCTTCCATATCTTGAACTTTGGGAAAAGTTTGAGAGAGAAATAGCTTGTGCCAGAAGGGATAAAAGCACCTCCCTTCTGAAGTGAACGGCAGAAATTGAGTAGCCACAGATGACACCTCATCAAATAAGGAACAAAGAGGCAAGCTGTGAATGGAAGAGTTTTATTCTCTGAGGACAGCCTGGACAGGAGAGGCGTAGGGATCAGAAAGAGCAGGAAGGATGAATCAACTGCCTGGCAGAATCCTCAACCACATCCCTCTTCCTGGCCCTTCCCGGCCCTGATTCTGGGGAGCAAGGTCTGTCCTGCAGCTTTTTCTCCCCCCAATGCACCCTCTTCCTCTCACGTTCTAGGAGTCCCTTTTAACCCCCTATGTGCTGGCTGCGAAACAAAACAAAACAAAACATTGGGCTCTGCAAGCCCTTGCAGTTCATACAGGAGGTTGGTGCTTCCTCTTCCTTGGCTGCTGGATTTGTACACTGTAAACAGAAGGTATTGCATCTTTCTCTGCTTAAAAATAAAGAAAAGGAAGAAAACGAAAGAAGGAAGAGCTTCCATAGGAAGAAAGAGTTGCTGCTATACAACTGAAGTGGCATTTACCCTGCAGAGATGGCTAAGGTTAGCCAGGTTTATTGTGTTATGGAATGACTCAAATATTCCTCCCATGTCCTACTCCTAGGATCTTGCATGTGTCACATGAAAACATATGTATGGAAACTGATCACTGGTCCACTTAATTGAGTAAGATCTGCTCTTGGGGCCTTCAACAATTACACCCTTGATGTTTTTCCGTTACACCCACAAAGCCCCTGAGCACCCTCCCCCCAGACTTACTGCCCACTTGATGATCATGGTCTCATGTTGAGAGCGGGAGTGGTTATCGTCTTATCCTTTGAAAGGTACATAGAGATGAAGGAGGAAGTTGGAAGAGTGACAATCTTCCCCACTTCCTCTTTCAGCTTTGTGTGCTTTTAAGGCTCAGACTAATGCTACTTGGCTGACTTTAACCCAAATATTTTGGAAGAGCAAAGTGTGCCACGCTCTGTCTCTTTTTGTGGGGAGAGTTGATGTGGTGGATAGAAGCGACCAAAGAGTGTGGCACCCATGTCAACTCTCTCAAAAGTTCAAATCTGCCCACTGGCTTAAAAAGTTGGTGGCCCTGATCTACTCCAGCAGCAGATCCCCAAGGTCTCTGGTAGAGCCCCCACCCAGCTCTGCTACCAGAGTTCAGGAGATGCTAATTATTGAACCTAAGACTTTTGGCATGCAAAGCAGGCAACTCTACCACTGAGCTACAGCCTTGGGAATGCACAAAGAAAGGTGGCAGCTGTGGGTGGTGGTCAACAAAGTTCTACCCATAGTAGAACCACTGAAATGAGTGAACCCAAGGGTTGCATTCAAATGCTAGTCCTATTTGGAGTTGATCCACTGAAATAAATAGACATAACTAACTGAGGTCCATTAATTTCAAAGGTTCTGCTCTGAGTAAACATTAGTTGGAGACAACCCTGAGTGAGCCATGTCCATTAACCTCAATGATTCTGCTCTTAGGACTAACATTGGGTATAAATGTTCAATTGTTATGCTGGGAGTCAACATTCCAAAAAAGATGGACCAGTTGAGCTTCCTTTATGTTGGAGACTGTGCAGGGGGCAGGGAGAGATGCTGTGCTTTTAGACCGTTTTTGCTTATTCGAATGGGGGTGGGGTGGAGAGAGAACCATCTGGACTGTGGCAGACAATCCTATTTACAGGGAGGGTTGTGAGTAGTCTCTCTCTCATGCATTGCTTGTTCTGTGTCTTTGTTTCTTCAGAGGGCTGTTTCTCCCCTCCTTCAAAAAAAAAAGAAAAATGAGAAGAAAATGGTACAGCCCAACACCAGAGTGCCTGGATCCTCTTGCCAGCAGAGAGGCCTACTAAGAGATCAATGGGCTTTCTCAGACCCAAGTTCTGTACTTGGCTGGAAACAGTCACAAATGCCTTTCAAGGAACCAAAATACATCAACCCCACCCCACCCTGTATCCCATAATGAAAGACCAGAAGTATAGTGGTGCTTCCTAGCAGCTGAAGAGAAGCTATGTCTGGTCCCATCCTGTCCCAGTGAGGACAAGACCTTGGTGGACATTAGAGAGATCAAATAGATGAAGGTCTTTCTTTTAGCAGCAATGGAAGAACAGCGATAGTCTCTCCCCAGACCCGGAAGAGGAACTGGGCCACATCAGGTTAGTCTCTGGCTGGGTGAGCTGGAATGTGGGAAACCTGAGTTTGTGGCCCCAAGTCCTGGGCCCCCAGCCCAAGCTTCAGGCTTGTGGGTGTGAACTGCTGGTAGATTCAAAGTGTGGCTTTTTCCTCCCCGGCAGGCAACATCCTCCACTTCTGAAAGGATCATCTCAGATTCCAAGGCGCAGGTGAGGACCCAGAATGCATCTTCTCTGCCTGTCCTGGTTTTGGTGAGGTGTTCCTTGAAAGCCCATTCTCTTCCATCCCAATAAAGGGCAGCTTAGGGTGCCTGCCAGAGCTTATTGCAATGGGATGGCAGGATAAGGCTTAAAGTCCCTTGATAGTCCTCCATCTCTGCTCATGAAGAATGGTCAGGACCATCACGCACTGCAGAAGTGCTAGTCCTTGGTCCTCTGCAAGCAAAGTCCAAGATATGGGAACTGCAGTGCATATGAAGTCCACCCTAGTGATGAATTGTGCAATGCAAGCCCCAGCCCTCCATCTCCAGGGGGAACAGGCCTTCCGCTGAGAGTGGCAGATCATTCTGTGTGCAGCCCAGAATCCTACGTCTAACCAACCATCCTACCACACAACCTTTAGACGAATTTCTCCTTGGCAGGTGCTTAGCCACCAACACAGGTGAAGAAGCTTCTGGGTCTATAGAGGAAGGGTCCATCACAGGTGTCTTCTGGAGCCCATGGTATTGAGCAGTTGAGACCTCATGATCTGGATGCTGGTCAGGATCTTCCTCTGGTGACCCACGAGGCTGATGCCCAAACTCTGCACATCACTGTGGAAACAAAGGCAGCATCAGGCAGACCAAAAGAAGAAGACTCAAAGAGGGTGCAAAGTAGGGGGAGTGAAGGGTGTGGCCTGGGGAGGGTCCCAAAAACCAGAGAGAAAGAGATCTAGAGAGCAACATTTAGACTGTTCAAGGACATGCTGCAATCAGGAAGAAACACTCCTAGGGGGTATAAAGCAAGGCTGGTGAAAGGCATGGCCTGGGAAGGAGGTCCTGGGGTCATATAGAGAGAGCCACATTTGACATACACACCCTGCTGGGGCCAGATGCTTCCCACCCCTAGTCTAGCTAATAATGCTCATGGGTATTCTGAGCCAGGCGACATTATGCCGATGGAACTTGCAATGCAAAATGAGATTCTACCCACGTCCCTCCAAAACACCATTTAGGTTGCTTGATAATTGAAAGTGCAAAAGTGTGTTCAATGAGGGAGAATCTTTCACTGAAGCAAATCATGGAGGAGGGGCGGAATGAGTATTTCTCCCTGTTTTTCATTTTAAGTGAGATTCTTTGCAGAGCTCTATCTAAACTGTGATCACTAGCCAGGACTTGGATCCAAAGGAGTGGTGGTGGTGGTGGTAGGGAAGTACGTTTTCAGGGGCAATTGAAACTGATGCGGCAATAGGATAAGGGACAGATCCACCACCACCACAGTGGTGGTCAGTGCCCACTGGGAATGGTAGGGTGAGGCCAATAGTAAGTGGCGACAGAGCCAACAATAGGAAAAAGCAACAAATTCTACTCCTGTCCCCATCTCCCTGCTGAGCTATACAACAGCAACACTGGGACTAAGGAGGAGGAAGCTGATAGCCAGGGATACCCTCTCTGGACTGGTTGTCAGGAAGATGGCAGGCAGCTGAGGGCAGGCTGAGGGCACACAGAGGTTATTGGGGCAGTGCACAATTTGCCCTAATGGAACAACCTCCACCTCCCCTGAGAGTAGGCATGGGCAAGTTCTCTCGGTTTCTCATTTTTCCAACCTTGAGTTCAGGTCTCCATGTTTCCAGAGCAGTTGGCTCCCCACCCTGCCCTTTTAAAGAGTCCTTGTGAAAATTCAGCAGTCATTTAGCGTGAATTTCTCCCGAAAAGCACACATCCGTATGCAATTTGGCCCAATGCACACATTCCTTTGCAAAATGTTTTACCCTAATAGAATGCCTTTTTGTGTCTTATTTTCATGAGGATATGTAGTTTTAAGGACACTGGTATGTGTGTTTCTATACACAAGTTGTGGCTGGAGAAACGGCATTGCAGAGAAGTGTGAATGTTGAACGACGGCTGTGTTTCAGTTGGCACATTTGGAAATTGCGAATCAGGTTGGTTCGCCTTTGAATGCGAGCCGAGTCATAATTCCCCCTATCCCTACTTGAAGGGAGCCCTGGGCTTCAAGCTGATTTTGAGCCGAGCTGAATAGAGTTCACCCGCCATGAGCCAGAAAGTAGGATCTCTTAGAATGCCTTGCTGGTCACCCATGGAGCACTGAAGTAGCTTCTGCTGATGTTTTGTGGCTGCTCTCTGAGAGAATGAGGAGGAATCTGTGCTGGGTGGGTGAGGTAGTTGCCTATTCCTGCACCAGCATGACTAAGTCTCTTAACATCTGCACTTCCCAATTTTCTCCAACAGAACCGCACCTTCTGCTCAAGACAGAACAGGTGGGGGATACAGCCAAGTCTGGAACAGAAAGCTCCTCAGCGGTGGCTGAGGAATTGCCTGATGCTCCTCATACAATATGCTAATGCTTCTCCTGGCCTCTTTCAACTGATAGGCTGTGTAGCAGTTTAGGCTCCTAAAATGTAGGGCAGGAAGATCCAATGGGGCTCAAGAGGTTTGTAGATGCATCCCAGGGGTCCTGATTGGAGGTCAGTAGCAGAGCAGGCAGATGTCCACTGGGACTGGTAGGGTGGGAAGCAGGGAGGCCAACAGTAGGTGGAGCCAGAGCCAACAAGAGGCAGACCCAGAGTCAATGATAGATGGAGCCAACTAACTCTGGTTTTGTCCCCATCCTTGTCTCTGCTGAGTTCTATGAGGGCAACACTGAGGCTAAGAAGACAACAGCCAGCTGCACCCCCTAGACTGGGGACTCATCCAGACTTCCACTTGTCCCACTGCTTTCCACAAGAAAAACCCAATCTTTACCACTGAATTGGAGGAAATGTAATCCGGATTTCCTGCAGATTGACAACTGCTCCAATTTAGCACTAGGGGAAACAGCATATAGAAAACCATTTGGATAAGCAGAAGCATGGAGGAACCCTAAATGTGAGTAAAGAGGTAGGCCGATGGGGGCCTGAGGGCCGACTGAACTTGGAGGGGCAGTGCCCCATACATTCCAATGCACCAACCTCCATTCAGTGGAATAACATGGGCCCCATACCAAAGAGGAGCATGACCAGAGCCAGTGCTGGTAAGTGGTGCAGTGTAACAGGGAAAGGGGTGTCACAGTCATAGTACAGAGGGTGGGGGATCTTTTCAGCCCAAGAGCCACATTCCCTCTGGTCAACCTGCCAAAGGCCAAAGGCCAGGGGTGGGCAGGGCCAGAGGGGAAAGTGGGTGGAGCACGAGATGTAAATTTTACCTTTCTGTAGCAGCCTAGTTCGTACACACACACCTCTCTCTAGCTTCCAGCCATGCAAATGAAGTGTGTGGTCAGAGTTCGAGGACAAATTCCAGCAAGGCAAAAACACTCAAGGAGGGTACAAAGCAGGGGGAGTGAAGGGTGTGGCCTGGGGAAGGTCCCAAGAGCCTGAAAGAGAGAGACCTAGAGAGCCACATTCAGCCTCTGGTCCTTACCCCTGCCATGGTGCCTAGCAGTGACTGAAGAGGAGATGTTGGGACTGGCACCCCATTTTGGCCCCTTTTCACCAAGCCTCAACCCCCCTCACACACATTTTGTGCTTACTCGATGTTCATTCGCATCACCATGCCAAGGGAAGAGTAGCCGGCCAGAGCAAAGTTCTCTTGGTATCGCCCCAGCCGGATGGAGTCTAGCCAGTCTTCCACAGTTGCACAGCTGGTGAAATCGATGCAGCCTCGTTCCGAGATGGTTTGGGTGAATCTGCAAGCCAAGAGATGGAGCACAGGAGGGAGAGGTGAGTGGAAGGTGGAGCAATGATTCTGGCAGCCCTTCATGTGTAGAAAGCGTGTGGTAGTAACACAGCACCTAAGGAAGCATAGGCCAGTTATTTTTTTTCTCTTTCCCAGAATGTACTGCTTCTTGACAAGAGGGAGAACAAGACAGAGCACAGCCAGCTGAGCTCTGACTCACTCTGTTCAGAGCCAGTAAGGCAGACAAGGGAAACATCCATCATCCCTGCTGGTTAGGGCTGATAGCCATTGTAGCCCAACATCTAGAGCAGCGTTTCCCAAACTTGGGTCTTCAGCTGTTTTTGGACTACAGTTCCCATCATCCCTGCTCACTGGTGCTGTTAGCTAGGGATGATGGGAGTCGTAGTTAAAAACACCTGGAGACCTAAGTCTGGGAAACACTGATCTAGAGAGCCACAAGTTCTCCTTTCAGTGTGTCAATAGAAATCAGAACAGCAACTCATACAGAGAAACAGCACAGAGCCCCCTTTCTGGATGGGGATTCCAGGATGGGAGAACCTGTGGCCTTCCAGATGTTTCTGGATCACAACTCCCATAATCCCTGAGCATTGGACATGCTGTCCAGGTGTTGGCAGTTGGAGTCCAGAAGCATCTGAAGTGTCACAGGCTCCCCATCCCTGTAGTAAGCAATCACTGCTCCTCCTCCTCTAATTTCTCAAAGGTGTTCTTCTCTGTAGGTCTGCCTCATTCACAGAGCGCTTGAAACTTTCATTATAATTTTGATGGTGCATGATAGACACCCCCCCCATCACCTCACCTTGCCCTGGGTGGTTCTAACCACCCTTTGCTGCCTTCCTCCACTCCTGTCTTCATTGCCAGGGGAGCAATGGACATGGATGGCCTTACTTTGGTTTCCAGGCACACAACTAGCTTAGTTCTCTTCCCATGGGAGCAGAGCATCTCTCTGCTGGCGAACACATACCTGTTGACTGTGGCCGTGCACTTGAGGTTCTGTGGGCTGCGGATGAGCTTGTCCAGGATGCTGACAATCTGGGGGAAACGTGGCCTCTCATTCCGATCTTTCTGCCAGCAATCCAACATGAGTTGATGCAAGGCTGTGGGGCAGCCCATGGGGGCAGGTAGCCGGTAACCCTCCTCCACCGACTGAATGACCTGCGATGAAGGTTTGACAATGTGCGTTTATTGGCGTTACACCTCCTTTTCCTCTATGGTTGTGCACTCAAGGTTCTGCCCTTCTTCATTTTATCTTCACAACAACCCAGCCTGGGAGCTTAGGCAGATTGGCAGTGACTACCTCAAGGACACTCAGTGAGCTTCATGCCGGAGTGGAGATTTGAACCCTGGTCTCCTAGGTCCTAGTCTGATACTCTAACCACTACACAGCACTGTCTCTCCAAATGTTTGCCTTTCTAAGAATCACCCTGCTAGGTGAGGTCAAAAAGTTTGTCTTGATGCCCCCAGAGAAGCTTAGAAGCAGGAAAAGACAGTCGCAGCTAAGAAAGGGTGAACCTGTCCATTTCAATGCCTCTCATTTTTTCAGTCTCAAAATTAGTTTTGCCCATTTCCGCATCAGTTTGCATTTTTAAAGAAAAGAACAAAACCCTCAGGAAAATCCGTCAGCATTTCTCCTTATATACACATTTTCATGTGCCGTGCAACATAACAGACACATTTTAACACAGCAGTTTCCCCCAATAGAATGCAGTTTCGTGTTATTTTCACTAATATATGCCCACACCATCCTAGTATGTGTGCTCTCTCTAAAAACTACTTGGTTGGAGAACTGCATTGCAAAATTCAGAGAACTGCGAATGCTGAAGGACTGCTGTGTTCCAGTTTGTGTATTGTTTCAAGCATTGCAAACTAGGCAGGTTTGCCTTTCAATGCAAACTGATTCAAATCTCTCTCTCTCTCTCTCATCCCATCTTGTTAACCTCCAGCCTTGGGCCTTCAGGGCTGCCTGAAGAATCCTTGGAAAAGGATACTGTGCTGCTTAAAAAAGAGAGATGGCGGGAAAGGAAAGGAAAAGTAGAGTGTGCTTCTAGACCTCATATCAAATTCGCAGAAGACCCTTTTTGAATGGGTAGAGCCCTGCTCCTGCCAGAGATCAGCTGCCCCATCCAATTTCCACTATTTTTGCCTGAGTTTCCTTCTACATGCATTATTGTCCCTGGAGGCTACTGGGACAGAGCAGAGGTGCAATTTGCCTGATTTCCCCAATTTGTTCACTTTTCTCTAGAGCCTAAGCCCATCCCGCTTTGCAGCTGTGTCTGTTTCGTCAATGACCAGCTCTTTTGCTTCGGTGTGCTGTGTCTTTGTATGATTTCATAATTGCTTACTTTGTGTTTTGTGAACACACAGAATGCCTGCATGATCTACACTTCTTCCCCACTGCAACATACTGTGTGTGTGTGTGTGTGTGTGTGTGAGAGAGAGAGAGAGAGAGAGAGAGAGAGAGAGAGAGAGAGAGAAATTGGGGCCCCTACTTGGGAGGGTACGCAGGGATGGCTAAGCAGAGACCGAGCCAGGGTTCAGGCTAGTCAAGGTAATTACTACACGATTCATCCAGGGAATTGGCTCACTTGCAATTAATGTTCTTTTTTCTTTTTCAAAACAACGCTATCAATTTGATTCTTAACAGGGTAATCAAGTCATACAATTAACTGAAGCATTTTTAATTTTTGACAAAAAAAGATTGTGAACACACGTGGAATCCCATTCAATGTGGAGTGCGCAACTACAACACATGGCATGTTTGGGTAGTGAAAATTCTGCAAATTACGACTTTCTTTGCAATCCCACCCAACAACTATGATGTACAGAGGTTGTGGGGGGCTGGGAGACATCTACAACAGATTGACCCTCTGGCTGAAGGACCTCCCTCTGCTCTTTCATTGCCCTTCCTTGATGCCTTCTTGGGAACACATCCTTCTAAATTGGCAGCCGTCTGGATTGAGTAACAAATTCCTCAAGGAGAGGCCAGCTAGTCTGTCACAGTGCAAAGATCCCCATGGAACCTGTTTAAGACCAACACACTTGATAGCGTGGAATGTGGTCTCAACAAATCCTGAGGCATGGGAGAACTTGGTGGAGTGATGGTGATGGCAGTGGGGTGGGGACCCTCTGAAATTTATCAGTTCAGAGAGCTTTGCCAAGGCATAGGGGGAATGGGAGAGGGGGCCACCGTGGACAGAGTGATGGGAAGAAGGGGAGAAATCCTTTTTAGGTCATCAATTCAGACCTCTGGTAAGAATGATCCTTCTTCCAGGAACCTGCCAGGGGCAGGAGTGAGAGAAACTAGAGTGGCAGAAAGTGTGGGGGGGAGGGCTGGAGGTACGTCCCCACCCATTTTCTATTCTCACTTCATTTTCTGCCCACACATGGCCCTGTGTCCAACTCCTGCCTAAAACCCTTGAGAGTCACCAACAGTCAATGTGCTTAGCTTGATAGGGCAAGTGTCTGACTCGGGATAAGGCAGGTTCCTTTGTTCTCACATCTTAACAGAAGGACCATAGCTCATTGCTTTCCATGCAAGAGATTCCAGGTACAACTCCCAACATTTTGACAGCTAAATCCCTGTCTAAAACTACTGGAGAGCACCTGCAAGTCAGTGTAGACAATACTGAGCTAGATGGACCAATGGTGTGATTTGGCAGGAGGCAGCTCCTGATGAAGTGCAAGAGCAGAGAGTTGAGAAGGGCACCAGTCTCTGGTTCCAGAGTCTGTTCCAGATGCTGCACCCAGTTCTCCTACTCTGATCCCCCCAGCAGAGACCATTCTTGTCTTCCTGGCAACTTGGGGAAAGGAATGACCCGGGGATGTGCACAATTCCCTTCCCACAATGCTGAAATCTACAGGGATCACTTTCACGCAAGTTCTGTTTCAGGTGGAGGAATAAATTAAGTCATGGGCAGCAGCAGCTGCTGCTTCCCTTACGTCCCGGTTGGTCATGTTCCAGTAAGGCCGTTCCCCATAGGCCAGCACTTCCCACATGACAATGCCGTAGCTCCACACGTCACTGGCCGACGAGAACTTCCGGTACGTGATGGCTTCTGGCGCTGTCCACCGAACAGGGATTTTCCCACCCTGCAATAAGAAAGGTCCAAGGCAGAGACATGCAAGTCAACCAATCTGAATGAAGCAACTACCACTAGCCACCAAGAACCACTGGATTCATCAAAACAGGCCCTCAGGGGGGTTGAAACCCTGAGCCCTTGACTGGCTGCTAAGTTAGCTAAGAGCTTTCCATAGCTGGCTGTGTTTGTGTGCATAGGCTTCTGCAGTTAAAGGTAAGCAGTGAGAGAGTGCACAGCAGTGGCAAGGAGCATTTTTCAGCCTGAGGGCCACATTCCCATCTGGGAAGCCTTTTGGGGGCCGCATGTCAATGGTGAGCGGAGCCAGAGGCAAAGGTGGGCGGAGAAACAAGGGTCAATTTGATCTCTTGCACAACAGGCTAGTTTCACATACCCTCTCCGTCCTTCATCCAGGGATCAGAGTTGAAGGACACATGCCAACATCTAAAGAGGGTGCAACGTGGGGCAGGGAGAGGATTATAGAGGCTTGGGGGGCTGCATTCAGCCCTCCAGGTCTCAGATTCTCCATCACTTATGTACAAGTGGTGAGTGAAAGATCCCTAAGCTCAATTTGGGATCAGCTCAATATTTCTCAAACCATTTGGGGCTGGAGCACGATAAGGATGTCTACCTTTTCCAAAAAGTTCTTTCCTGGCTGGTAGCATTGGGTATATCTTGATGGTTTCATCTGCCCCTCAAAAGGCCATCTATGCTGTAAATGTGTGTGCCATTTTTGGGGGGAAATGAAGCTCGATTCAGGATACTTCTGAGCATTGCAAGCTGCCCAGATTCATAACTCTGAAGCAGCATCAGCAGCAACATCTCAAATGCAGAACCGGATGCTGGAGGAAGGTAGTGAAAGAGACCAGTGGGGGCAATAGGAACCTGACAGGCTCCAGAGAGCAGGATCAGACATCTTCAAGGAAAGGTCTGCAGCTCAGCAGGAGAGCACATGCTTGGCCTGCATAATGTCTGGTGGTCAATTCCCAGCATCTCCAGGTGCTGAGAGCCTGGAGAGCTACTGCCAGTCAAAGTGGACAATATTGGGCATAGTGGAATATGGTCCTTCCTGGTATATATATATACCAGGAAGGAGCAAGGCTCCTGTATTTTGCTGAGAAAGGAATATGGGAGGGGGGAGGCTGTCTGAGAAACAAGGAGGGGACAAACAGAGTTAACCTGAATGTGGCTCTCTCTGTGTGCATGTGTGCGTGGAGAGCCCCCAAGCTAGGATCTGCAGGAAGAGGCACCAATTCAACAAAGCTACAAAACTGCTTGAAGGAAGGTTCCTCCAAAATCTGTCAAGGTCCAGGGAATTCTCCAGATGCCTTAAATGACTACAGAGATCCTGAGGAGCAGGGTTCATTTGGGCTGATGGGGCATTGCCCTGCTAACCTCAGTCTGCCCTCTTCCACCCCCACCTGCCACTCTGCTTTCAGAGTCCAGAGGTGGCAATACTTGCCAGCATCAGTGGTGCCCCTGTAGAATGCATCAGAGAGGAGGATGGGTACAAAACTAGCGATAGCCGGCTCTGCCTGTTATTGCCTCTGGCTCCTTCTACCGCTGGGCTCCCTACCTTCTGCCCCACCAGATGCCACTGGTCCCAAGAGACCACCAGTCTCCTTTCAGAGGCTTATAAGCCATAATGGCAATCCAGCAGTATGTAAAATCATCATCACCGTCAGGACTCCATAAAAAGAAAGCTAATCATAATCACAACATAATCACAAGTAGCCCCTGTGCGCCACAAGTCAGAGCGTACCGTGGTGGTATAAGCAGCCTCGGGGTTGTTCTCCAGGATTCGCGACAGGCCAAAGTCAGAGACTTTGCAGACCAAGTTGCCATTGACCAAGATGTTGCGCGCCGCCAAGTCGCGGTGCACGTAGCCCAGGTCCGCGAGGTAGCGCATGCCAGCGCCGATGCCTCTCAGCATGACGACCAGCTGAAGCACCGTAAATTGCCCATCATGTTTCTGGAGAAAGACCAACCCGTGTTAGTTTTCAGCCAGTGTTATGCCACCGGTAGAGGCTGGTCTGGATGGTGAACAGAGCACCACCACACCAAACTTAGCCTCCCTCTAAGCAGCCCCAGATTGCCAGCCATCTTACTTATAACCAGTCCTGTGGGTGGCGCTGCCTGCCAGCTTCCTCTTCCTTGGTGTTGCCTTTGTAGGCAGGGAGGAGGACAAGAATGAAACTAGAATGAGTTGGCTCTGTCTCTCATGAGCGACCCCTGGAGGCACCAGCCCACACTGCACCCCACTAATGCATATCCCAGGACCAACCTAAAATACAGGGGTTACATTTCAGGGCTCAAACTGAAGAACATAAGAAGAGCCTGGCTACTAGAGCAGGCCAAAGGGTGCTCTAGAGCATTATGCTGTTCTTGCAGTGGCCAACCTGATGCCTCTGGGAAGCCCACAAAGAGGACCAGGATGCAACAGTGCTTTCCCCAGCAGTGATTTCCAGCAACTGGAAGCAGAACATAGCCACCATGGGTTTGTTTAATCCACTTTTATAGCTTCCAGGTTGGTGTTCATCACTACCCCTTGTGGAGGCAAATTCTAGAGTTTAACAATGCACCCTGTGAAGCAATGCTTTCTTCCATCCTTTCCTGAAAGTTGGGAGATGTTGGAAGAACAATGCATCATGTGAAGCAATGCTTTCTTCCATCCTTTCCTGAAAGTTGGGAGATGTTGGAAGAACATTCAGCTTCATTGGATGTCCCCATGTTCTAGTATTCATAGAATCATAGAACTGTAGAGTTGGAAGGGGTCCTGAGGATCATCTAGTCCAACCCACTGCAATGCAGGAATATGCAGCTGTCCCATATGGGGATCAAACCTGCAACCTTGGCATTATGAGCACCATGCTCGAACCAGTTGAGCTATCACCAGCTCCACCACCTTGATTGTTCTGGCTGCCCCTCTCTCAACCATTTTGGGCTCTATACTATCCATCCTCCTGTGATCCTCCAGTCAGACGCCACTGTCATGAGGCTGCAGCGCCCGCCTCTCCTTGCTCCTGTCAGTCACTCTGCCAGGAACCATGCAGCATGAATAAGAAGGCGTGCTGTTTTACCCGGAGAAAGGAATCCAGCGAGCCGTTCTCCATGTACTCGGTCACAATCATGACTAATTTGCCTGCAGGAGACAAGAGAGGTCAAGCTAATAGACATGTGCCTTTGCAGCTGATGTGTTTCTGTCTGTTCAGGACTGGTATGAGACATTGTGCGGACGAGGGGCACCAATGGGTCCCCCACTCTACTTGACCACAGCTGTGCAGTATTTTCTTTTTCAGCTGCTGTACCACTTACTGCCCTCCCAGATGCCCCCCTCCAAGATATCATTTTGGCAGTAGATGAGGAGTGGTGCCACTTTTGAATGGGGGACAAGCTTGATTCCCACCCATGGTGATCACCGGCCATCATTATTTTCCCAAAAGGAAATCTAGGTATGTCAAACCTGGAAGAGCCTGTAGAGCCTATATAGAGCTATAATAACTCCAGAGGTCAGGACATTGCATTTGGGGTAACCCCCAGATTAGAGGTCAAGCTTCGCTCTCATTCCAAAGAAGAATGTACGCCTGGCTATTTCCAATAGGGCTGATTTGGAGCCCAGTGGGGAAGGCAAGGAGGCAGTTGGGTCAGGCAGTGCAGTGTCCCTGGGGTGTGAGACCAATGTCTGAATTGACCAGCTGCTGGTGCCAGGTCTTGGGGTGCTTATTGGTGGGGAAGGGACATTTAGAAAGCCCTCTCTGCTCCACTATAGTTCCTGAGACTTCCTCACAGGTTACCAAAGACAGACAATCTATAGGCACCATTCCTGTTATTAAGTCATTCTGATATTTGCATCCTATTACCATAATGCTTTGCATCAGAAGTGTGACCCAAAAGCTCCCCCTCCTCCCCAGCTTTATAATTCAATTCAATTCAGCTCATCCCAAAAAAAGAGAGTGAAAGGGCATTTTACTTCTGTGCAGGAAAAGAGAGTCAGAAGCGCAAGCCAAACGTTCCCTCCCCCCTCCCTTTTTTCTCATCTCCATCAAATGAACCGCTGCAGGAAGAACAAACCCAAATCAACGGCTCATTTTGCTAATGATATTCGTAAGGAAGCAAGGACAGCAGCCGGGGACAGGCTGCCTTCCTCTCCCTGTGAAATGAGAGGCAACAACTAAAGGAGAGAGGAGAACTAAACTCCCGCCTGAGGCTTCAGAACAATTGACAGCTGGCCAGTAGGCCAATCCAAGCTGAAGGTTATCAAGTCTTAGGCTGGACCCTTCTAGGTGTCTGTTTTCAGAGGGGTCTAACCTGTAGGTAGGGATGGGTGAATCATAGGAACAGAAGAAGAGCATGAGGTCATTGACCAATGTGGCCCAACATCCTGCTCTGACATTGGCCAGCCAGATGTCCATGGGAAGCCCAAAAACCAGATATGAGTACAACAGCACTCTGCCCACATGCGATCCCCAGTGATGGGTATTGAGAGTGGAATAGAACACAGTCATGGATGCTGGGGACCAAAACTCAGTGGCATATGTTGATTTAAACCAGAGAAGGAGGATCTGTGGTCCTCCAGATGTTGGACCACAAACTCCCATCATCCGTGAATATACTGGCTGGGGCTGATGGATGCTGAAGATCAACAGCATCTATTTTTGTTTTATTTATTACATTTCTGTACTGCCTTTCATCTGAGGATCACAGGGGCAGTTTACAATATAAAAACACAAAAATATATAGCATAGTAACAACTAAAATCAATAATCCCCAGCCACACACACAAAACTTAAAAGGCCATAGATGGTTTAATTAGCCAAAGGCTAATCTAGAAGGCTGCTGGGTCCTCATCCCTGACGATCACTTTCTCAACATACAGGTTGAACCTAATTTGCATTGTGACTGGTCAGGGTAAAACAGTCGGAGGCCGGTGGAATGAATGTGGCCACTTGTAAGGCTGAGTTTGATAGCCGAAAGATGAGACTTGCCCAATGCCTTTCCAATGTCCCTCAATGATGCAGGTATCCCTGAAACAAGATTGATTTCTTAAAGCCATTCACAACTCCCATCTTCATAATCAAGTCCCTTTCTGGGTTGGTCTGCAATGCTGATGAGTCCAGACTGATATCAAAAAGGTCTTTGATTAGTTTTTCTCTCTGCTTGGGGCCTCGAATATCCTGCAGTTCTTCTGAAGACTGGCCCCTTCCACCCTCATTGCCCACAAATTGATTCTTGATGTCCTTATTCATAGGAAACTTTGCATTCCTCAAGTGTTCCCCGCCCCCCGTATTTTAAGAGCCTTTGTCCTTCCTGACAGCCCATTTGGATGCAAGGAAGATAGGTGTGTGGGTCAGGGGAGGCAGAAGAAGAGAGTAATGGGGACAAAGGCTAGCTAGCTAAGTTGTGGCATCACATCATAAATAACTGTGAAATCTGGGTGCAGACTAGTGGCTAAGAGTCTGATCTGTGACCCAGGAAGGATCTGGTTCAAATCTCACCTGTGCCATGAGTTCCCTGGGTAGCCTTAGGCAAGTCACACTCTCTCATCAAACCTGCCACCTTCTGCACTATGAAGGAAAATAATACAGGCCTCTCTTACAGGATTACTATAGGACAGCCTTCTATAATCTACTGCCCTCCAAATGTTCTGGACTAGAACTCTCATTAACTCTGACCATTGGCAATGAGTCCAAAACATCTGGATAGTAGCGTGGAGGAGAAGGCTGTTGGAAGAACTGCAAATCATAGGCATGCAAAGTGTTTTGAACAACATCATTCTCTCTAGCAGCCCCTTGGAGTCATGAGACATGTGCACCTTGTTCCATACACTAAACTCACCTAGTTGAGTCAGACCTGGCCTCACACTTACTTTTGGTGACCACCCCCTCCAGGTGGATGACATTGGGGTGGTCAAACTGGGCCATGATGCTTGCTTCACTCAGAAAGTCCCGTCGCTGCTTCTCTGTGTACCCAGCTTTTAGGGCCTTGACCGCCACGGGTACCTCCCTCTTTCCAGGTAGCTTCAGACGGCCGTAACACACCTCTCCTGACTCTCCTGCAGACCAAGATGGACCAGCACATCACATTCAATTTTTATCTTACTGCCAAGCCCTTCCGAGCTTCCCTTGGCCACCAATTCCACCCTCAGATAGGCTTCTGAGAACCTTCCAGAAGGCCAATGATTCTCATTTGAGAAAATGAGATCTGGTGCCCCATTGGCCTTAAAAGAGCCTGCCCCTGGATGTTCTCTGGGTCCAGGGAGAGGGACATCTATGGGGGAAAGGGAGTACACACCAGACCCAATGACTCTCTCGATTTTAATCCTGGAGGCTTCGATTTCTCGCGTGAACTCATGCACAGCCTGGCAGGGGTCCTCATAAGTGTGGGGCTCCACGTAGAACTTTGACTCGGGGAATTTCACTGTAGGGCATTCCGGAAGGACAGAAGAGACATGAAGCTTGAGGCAGTTATGCAAAGCAGGGACAGGGGAGAAAGTCGATCTTGTTTGCATTTGAATGAGAAACTGGCTCCTTGGCACTTCCCAAAAGCAATACACAAACTGAACCCCCTCCCAAATCCTCTGAAATTTGCACTTCCCTGAATGTTGCAGTGCAGTTCTCTAACCAAGCAATGTGTACATACATGAAACATTATTTTTTTTTAGAAAATGAAAAAGAAATCCCACATGCATTTACAAAAAGCCTCCACTATTATACAATGGAACACTGCTTGCGAAAAAGTGCATGTTAGTCAAAACTGCTTACAAAAAAAAAAAGTGTCTCTTAGGAGAAATCAACACTAAGATGCTGGCAATTTTTCATGAAGATTTAAAAAGAAGAGAGTTGTAAATTGTGGAGGATATATGGATAAGCACATTTAAGACTGGGGAAAAGACCCAAGGAACTGAGAGAAACTGACAGATTTATCTGTCCTTGGATGCAGCAGCAGGTATCTGATGCTCACCTGAGGCCAGTTGATGTGTCCTGGGGTGAAGGTGCAAAGGATACATCCCAATAGGAGAAGGGAAGGGACTTGTGTTTTAGGATCATCATCCCTCACTATTTGCCCTGCTGGTCAGGCTGATGGCAGTTGGAATCCAGCAACGCCTCTCTCCCTGCTCTATGCCAGTGATCTTTGACCAGTTGAGACCCAAGACCCACCTGAGACCCCCAAGCTACAACATGGGACCCAATTCCACATTTTCACTTTTGTTATATAGTTTTAAGTGCTAATAATGCACACTATCAATCCTTACATGGCAATTCACAGAGCAATATGCATAGGATTAGCATGAAAACTAGTCCTCCAATGTGTCAGGAGAAAGGCATAGGCATGCAGTTGGTCAGAAATATATATCTTAGCCTTCATTTTGCCTCCTGGGACAGTGTCAGAGTTCCATGTGCACCATGATGGAGGCTCTGACCCTGCACATTTACCAGCAGAGGCTTACTCTTGGCATGGTAATGTTAGCTTTGGTGCTGCAGAATGGACATACATGAAGCTCACTGGACAAGCTTTAGCTCAACACTTACCCTGTCCGTTCTGATAATGCATTTTCTCCTCGTCAGAGTCCTGGAATGCCTTGCTGTAGCCACAGTGTCTGCATGCCCAGTGATGCGGCGGGGTGGAGGTTAAGGAGAGAGATGAGACACAAAATATGCTAGTGAGGCACCACCTTAAGAACATAAGAAGAGCCCTTCTGGATTTGACCAAATGCCCATCTAGTCCAGCAACCTGTTTTCACAGAGGCCAACCAAGTGCCTATGGGAAATCCGCAAGCAGCAGATGAAAGCAACAGCGAATTCTCCATTTGTGCTCTCCATCAACCTTCTCCTTCATAAATGGTCTAAAACTCTTTTAAAGCAATCTAAATTGGTGGATATCACTTGCTTGCCTTCCTTCCGAACTAAGAAGAAGAAGGCCCAAACCCAAATGTTGCAACTTTTCCTCTTAGGGGAGTCGTGCATTCAAACACGCAGAAGCGTACCACTTGGGAGGAGGCCCCCATGAGAGATCTGCCCTTAAAAGATAAGCCTACCTCTTCTTGCAGATCAGAAAGAGCAGCAATGCGACGAGGCCACTGATGAGGGTGAGGCAGGTCCATACCACCGCTGTGGTGTCGTAATGGGGAGCTACTGGGAAAGAAAGATTGCAGGATTCTAGCTCTGCAGCCTGAGACAGGCAAACACCCACACATGTGCACTGTTCTTTTCCCTTTATCCCTGGGCTCAGCACATCCTGACTCCCCATGGAACAGAGGAAGCTGTCTTTCACCAAGTCAGACATCAAGTCCAGCTAGCTCAAGACTGTCCACAATGACTGGCTCTCCAGGATTTCAGATAGGGGCAATTCCCAGCCTTACCTGCAGATGCTGGGGATTGAATCAGGGACCTTCTGCATGCAATGCAGATAACTCTACAACTCCGCTACAGCCCTTCCCCAAGGAAGCAGAGGCAAGGATGATCTGGTGACAAGGAAATATGTTCTTCCTAAGAATGGAGCCTGTTCCCTGAGCATGACTTACTAGTGGGAGATCACTGGCAGTTTGCAGCATTCCGTAGCTCAGTGATGGCCAAACTTGGCCCTCCAGCTCCAGCTAACAGAACCAGTGGTCAGGGATGATGGGAACTGTAGTCCCAAAACAGCTGGAGGACCAAGTTTGGCCATCACTGACATAGCTGATACGCCTTTGTTGCTTGAGAACACCAATGGAGAAGAAATTATGGAGGAAAGTAATGGTAAAGCAGGAGAGGAATTTTAGCAATGAAGGGCTGTAGCTCATTCATAGAGCATCTGCTTTGCATGCAGAAGGTCTATGGTTCAATGCCTGGCATCTCCAGGAAGAACCGGAAGGGACTCTTAGAGGAAACCCTAGAGAGCCACTACCAGTCATTGCAGACAAAACTGAAATAGGTGGGTCATTGGCCTGTCTCCCTCTAAGGCAGCTGCCTCTGTTCCTTTGTTGAGCTGTGGCTGATGGAAGCTGGAGTCCAACAACATCTGGAAGACCCAATGGTTGCCTGATTCTCCTTCGGTCCCATGTCCAAAATTCATACAGAACCTCAGAACAGGTGACAGACCAAGGATAACAGGGATCATGACTGTGTCGGCACACTGCCCTAGAGCCTTAATTCTCCCCCTTCTGGGCTTAGCCCTCCCTTCCATAAAAGCATAAGAAAGAGCCAATCTAGTCCAGCTTCCTGTTCTCACAGTGGCCAAAGAGATGCCCCAATGGGAAGCCCACAAGCAGCACCTGGGTACAACATTGCTCTCCCCAGTTGTGATTCCCAGCAACCAGCAATTCATGGGCATAACTGCCTCCAGCAGTGGAGGGAGAACTCCTTCTCTGAAATGGGTATGTCCTGTAGGGGTTGGAGGCCACCGCATGGGGGAAGGCAAACAGAGCTTCCATTTTGGGGTGGGGTGCCTTCCAGTTCTGCCCCATCCCACACCTGCACTCTCATGCACCCCTCTCCTCCCCCTGCTTTGCCTCACTTGCTTTGGCGGTCTCCACTTCCACCACCTGGCTGAATTTGCCACAGCCGGCAGAGGTGCGGGCTCGGACCTGGAAGACATAGCAGGTTGCCGGCTTCAAGCCTGAGACGGTGGTGCTGTTGCTTTTGGACTTCAGGGTGGAGTAGCTCTGCATTTCTTTGTCCTGGGGAAGCAAAAAGTGACGTCAGTCCAGGGCAGGGGTGGGGAACCTCAGGCCTGGAGGGCAAACGTGGCCTTCTGGGTCTCTCCATCTAGCCATCAGGAATCTCCCCAGGCCACCCCGTCATCAGCCCTGTTTTGCCTTCCCACTGCTTTTTCCTGGCTGGAATGTGTCCTTCAACTCTGGCAATGTCTTTTGGATGGTGGTTGAGGATGGATGGGTGCAGGAACTAGTCTTTTATACAAAGGTAACATCTGCAATTTTTGCTCCAATCACTTTTGCACCTGGCCACTCCCACCACCAGATCTTTGAAGGGTCCCCGGAAAAAGAAGATTCCTCACCCCTGAATCAAAGCCTTGTGCTAGAGAAGGTATTATTGGGAATGAGGACAGGAAGTAGCAATGGGTTTATTTCAGCCTTTCCATACTTGCTTGGCTTGCCTTCCAGATTAACTTAGGGAATTTCTAAAATCAGTGTTGGAATTTGGCAAATGCAGAGTTTGCTGGAGTCTTCAGTTCATGGTTTTACTTGGTTTCCTTGTGGCTTACTGAAGCACACCAACCACTAATGAGGATGGGTGAAATCTGGTCAAGAAGGAATCATGATGCAATTCCATCAGGATTCCTTTTTATGCTGCAATTTAGTCACTGCACATACGAGCACATGTGCATGGAATCCTGATGCAACTGCATTTAATCAATGCACATGCATGCAATCGCATTAATATTCCGTGTTGTGCTGTGATTTAATCGGTGCATGTCGGAGCATGAGCAGTTGTGCGTGGAATCTCGATGTAATCATGCAGTCATGTCAGAACTCCATTTTACACTTTGATTAAATCAATGTCATCATTACAACTGTAATTTGTAAGTTTTTTTAAAAAGGCAAGCTGAAACCCGTGAGAAACTGCACATGCACAGTTGTCTGAACAAAGTCTGGAAATAAAAGGAAGCAGAAATAAATAGCTGCTTGCTAATGGAGAGATGCCCTGTGGAAGCAAGACTCTGGAAGAAGGAGGAGGAGGAGGAGGAAGATTTCCATTAGCTTTATTTGCACCTTAGAATCTGGGAAGCAACTTGGATGGAGAGATTTAGCACAAGCAATGGCACACCTTGCCCAACAGAGAGAGCAGACAGGTCAACCAGCACAATTGCTTTTACCTTTTCATAGTACTTGATCTCATATTCCAGAATGATGCCGTTGGGCTGATCCGGTTCCTGCCACAGGAGCGTGACACTGTTTTGGCCCACGTTCTCCTGGTGAACGGCCAGCACTTGGGATGGAGCTATGGAAACAGACAATAGGAGACCATATGAGGTTGGTGCTGATAATGCCAAGGTTGCAGGTTTGATCCCTGAATGCTACAACTGCATAGGTTGGGCTAGATAATCCTCAGGATCCCTTCCAATTCTACAGTTCTAGAGGAGAGAGACAGAGAGACAGAGATAGGCCATGGTGGTAGTGGAGAAAGCAATGAGACCAGCTATAGATGGAGCCAGAGCCATTGCAAGGTGGGCCCACGTCCTGTTTGATTGCAAGTAAGACAGTAGAAAGATAGAAGCTGGCCGAGAGGAGACCGAGGTTGGTGGGGTTCTGTTCCATCTGCCATAGTGGACCACCATTGTCGAATGGGTCAAGAGGTTCTAGGTGACTTAGGTGACCAAGCTCAGCCATACAGCAATTGCTATAAGAGGGAGACTGCATTTAATCTCACAACAAGCACCAGTTAGTGGCATTGTCAGGCAACTGCCAGGACATCAGTACTCCAGGAAGGCTTACCATGGGTGCCTGCCTTGTGACTTCCTAAAAACACCTAACAACCATAAGAACATGACACTGATTTCCACCCATATACAATTCAGGTTGCATATTTTCCCATTTGTTTATTTGATTCCATTTAGGAATCACTTCCCATAGAATATCTCAAAGGGACTTCATGGCAAAAATGCCAACCACCAAAACAATTAAAAACAGTTCCAGATACAAAAACAAAATTAATTTTAATATGTTAAAAAAACAAAAAAAACAAAAACAGTTTCAGGCTTGATACAGGCACAGTCTGGAATAAAGATCTGCCACTGAAAGTGTTGTTGACAAAGGAAGGTTTTCAGAGAATTGGAAAAAATTCTTCAGCAAAGTATACTCCAACTCTGAATTGGAAGAGTACTTCATTCCTCAATAAATTGGTGTGTTGACCTTTTCTTGCTTTCTATAATTAGCGATTCATCATTGCTCTTGCTATGTAGACGACATTTTGTATGTATATAAAACATTTCTGCAGAGATTGCCCATGCCTGATATGTAGGGGGAGGGAATTCCAAAAAGGAGGTGCCACTACCGTAAAGGCACGATTGCTCTCTCATACAGAAGTGATCTCCTGATAAAAGCAGAGTAGGCATGTCAGGGGTAAGATGATATTTTAGGTATATTTTTCCAGGTCTTCCTCATCATTAATAGTAACAGTTAGCGATTGGACTAGATGATCCTTTGGGTCCCTTCCAACTCTGCAATTCTATGACTCTACGAATTAAGGCTGCAATCCTATGCCCACTTACCTTGCGCTATGCTCCACTGAACTCATTTCTGAGCAGACATGTATAGGATTGCTCTGTTAATCTGCAATGTTTTTAATGGGTCAAAACATCCAGAGTAGGGTAGGTATGTGAGATGGAGTTCTGGTTGGTTCTATCGTGGAGGGGAAAGAAAAAGAAAAGAAAAGCAGAAAATAATGGAAGTGGGAAAGGTCACAAAAGGCAACCCAAATGAACAGAGGATGAAGAATCTTCCTCACAAAGAAATGCTTTTTATTGTATTATTATTATTTTTTTTAAAAAGGCTATTGGAGGGACATGAAAGAGGATTATATTTCATTGGTGTGGAGGAAGTAAATAGAGAGGATTTCTTCTCCTTCTCTCATAATACTAGAATGCAAGAGATCACCCTGGGAAATTGGTTGGCAATAGATTCAGGATGCATGGAAGGAAAGGACTTCTTCATGCAATTTCTAGAAATCAGTCAAGTTTGTGGGATTAAGTGTCACAAGAGTGGCGATAGCCACTAGTCTAGGCTGCTTTTCAAGAGGATCAAAAAGTAACAGAGGAGAGAAGGCAAGCACCTAGGACCTGTCAAAATGCAAAAGGAGGTCCAAAGAGGGCAGCAGTTGCATAAAATCTGCACGTGCCAATTTGGGGGTTGCCAGAGTGGCACCTGTGGAATCCCATGAAATTAGGCTTGAAAGAAATGTCCCATTGTTGCTAATAAAATGGGTTGCAGTGTGTGCTTGGTTGCAATGTGCATGGTACCCACCAACAGTTTCTCCAGTCTGCAAATGTGTGTATATGGGCCCAAAACTGTTGGTGAACCCAGGGCTCATACATATGCAGAAATGCACATTTTGAAATGATTGCTGCATTTTAAATAGAAGTGCAATACCTAGCACAGGAGTGGAGAAGACTGTGACCAGGTGATCTGGGTGCCTGCACAGCCAATTGTAAAGATGCCATTGATGGGCAACATCAAGGCCCCTTCCATCTTTGTGTTCATTATCTTTCAACAAAGCAGACCCTACAAATGTCCCTATTTTTCAGGGACAGCCCCAAATTTACAGACGCCATCCCAGTTTCCATTTTGATCCTGGAATGTCTGTTTATCCTAAGGATGTCTCTATTTTCATCAGAGAAACGTTGGAGGGTATGGAGTTATGTGACCTCCCCAAGCCAAGGAGATAAGTAACTATAAAACCTTTAGATGACGTCTGAAGGCAGCCCTGTATAGGGAAGGTTTTTAAACATTTTATTATGTTTTTATATATGATGGAAGCTGCCCATAGTAGCTAGGGCAACCCATTCAGATGGACATGGTCTCGTTATTGTTGAATAGGACATCCCTATTTTCACTGGAGAAATTTTGGAGGGTATGGTAATTCTCGTGATCTGCACAGCCCTTCAAGGAGAGGACTGTTGTCTGTAAAGTAGGCCACATAACCACCTGAAATAACATGGAGCTGGTGATGAAGGACATCTGACCGAGGTCACTTTGGGAGCACCTCAATGGATTCCAGCCAGTGCTTTTTTCTTTTCCTTTTTTAGAAAAAAGATACTGATACTCACTATGAAGTTGTTACGTTAATTGCCACACTTCTAACATTTAGGGGGGAACGGTGCCAGTACAGTGGTACCTTGGGTTACATACGCTTCAGGTTATAGACTCCACTAACCCAGAAATAGTCCCTTGGGTTAAGAACTTTGCTTCAGGATGAGAACAGAAATCGTGCTCCGGCGGCATGGCAGCAGCAGGAGGCCCTATTAGCTAAAGTGGTGCTTCAGTTTCTTAACCAATGTCAGACCTGTCTCTCTCTGGAACTTCTCTCTCTCAATCACGTTCAGATTTTTCTCCAGGACTTTAGTTTTCATCTTATTCAACTTAAAACCTGCTACCTGACCAAATTCTTGAATCAATTCTAGTACTCTTTTCGTGCTTGATTCTGGCTCCTGTAAAGTCAGTACTAAGTCATCTGCAAATGCTTTCAGTTTGTACTGTTTAGCTCCCACTTGTATACCTTTAACCAATTGGTCCCTTCTAATCATATTTAACAGAACCTCCAGGACCGAAATAAAAAGCAATGGAGAGATTGGGCAACCCTGTCGTGTTCCTTTCTCAATCTTGAATTCTTCCGTCACTACGTTATTCACTATTAATTTAGCCCTTTGTTCTGAATAAATTGCACCTATACCATTTCCAAAACTTTTACCAACCCCCATCCCCGATAAATTCTTCTTCATAAAACTCCAAGAAATATTGTCAAAGGCTTTCTCCGCGTCCACAAAAATCAAAACCGCTTTTGTATTAATCTTCACTTGTAGCTTTTCTAAAATATTAATTATATTCCTCGTATTATCAGACAAATGCCTGCCCGGGAGAAAGCCCGCTTGGTCTTTATGGATTTCTTCTGCTAACACCTTTTTTAGTCTTTTAGCCAAAAATATAATCCACATTAAGCAGTGATATGGGACGGTAGTTTTTGAGTTGCGTCTTTTCAGACTCTAATTTTGGTATAAGTGTAATATATGCTTCTTTCCACGACTCAGGTGCCCTTTTCCCTTCCAATATTTCATTACAGACTTCCTTTAATGGTTGTATTAACCATTCTTTCAAAGTTCTGTAGTATCTAGAAGTCAGTCCATCCGGTCCTGGAGATTTACCTAAGCTTATTTACAGAAATATTCCAAAATTAATGAATGTTAGAAAGATGCTGGAAAGAAGTTATATGACTTTAGTAGAAATATTATAAAAAATCAAGTATGAATAGATTGACATTGGGTAAAGAGGTAAATTTAAGTTTAAAATTGCGTTAAGTTAAATCATGGAACTAAATTTGTGAAAGAGGGAAAGGACTTGCTGGAATATTTAATTGAACTAGAATACAAAAAAGGAGGTGTGAGGAAGTCGAGGAAATAAGCAAATGAAAGATAAGGATATGAAAATATGTGGTTCTTTTGTATGTTTGCTTGTTCTTTGTTGGGTTTTTCTTTTTCTTTTTAATGCTTTTCTTTTCTTTTCTTTTTTTGTATTGTTGATGTTTTGTATTTCTGTATTTATTTTTGTTTTTGAGGTTTTGTAATTGTTTATTGCTCATATTTTTCTTTTGTTTTGCTTCTGTTTTTTTTGCAATGTTTAAACTTTAATAAATATTTTATAAAATAAATAAATAAAGTGGTGCTTCAGGTTAACAACAGTTTCAGGTTAAGAACGGACCTCCGGAATGAATTAAGTACTTAACCTGAGGTACCACTGTACTGAACAACACTGAGTAGACAACACTTGAGTTAAATGGACCAGGTGACTGACTCAGTATAAGGCAGCTTCTTACATGCCTGATCCTGCCATAAAAACCTCTTTGCCCATTCAGTGAGATCCACAATGTTCAGCCCTGAGAAGCAGGCTAAGCAGAAGCTGAAAGCCAGTCTGGCAGGGCAAGCAGGGGGAGGGCATCTCCTACCTGCCTGGTTTGTGGTGATGTTGACGGCAGCAAATTTCGGTGGCTCGAGGGTCAGGTCGGAGACCCCATTGACGGCCTCCACCCAGAAGGAGTAGTTGGTGTGGGCCAGGAGGTTGGTGACAGCCAGGGATCCCTGGGCCAGGTTCACTGGCTGGGGCAGGAAGCGGATGCCAGGGCTGCAGGCCTCGCACTGGCCAGAATCCCACAGGCAGTGGCGGCAGAGGACGTTGTAGAGGATGTCACTGCGGCCGCCTTTGTCCAGAGGCGGGGACCACTCGAGGGTGACGGAGGTGCCATTCACGCTGGAAAGAAGGTTCACGGGGGCAGAGGGAGGACCTAGAAACAATCAAGAGGAGCGCAGGGTCATGGAGGGAGAGTTGGAAGGAACTTCCATAACAGTCCTAATATTTGTTTATTTATTTGGGGCATTTGCACCCTGCTCTTCAGGGACGCGGGTGGCACTGTGGGTTAAACCACAGAGCCTAGGACTTGCCGATCAGAAGGTCGGCGGTTCGAATCCCTGCAATGGGGTGAGCTCCCGTTGCTCGGTCCCTGCTCCTGCCAACCTAGCAGTTTGAAAGCACGTCAAAGTGCAAGTAGATGAATAGGTACCGCTGCGGCAGGAAGGTAAACGGCGTTTCTGTGCGCTGCTCTGGTTTTGCCAGAAACGGCTTAGTCATGGTGGCCACATGACACAGAAGCTGTACGCCGGCTCCCTCGGCCAGTAAAGCGAGATGAGTGCCGCAACCCCAGAGTCGGCCACGACTGGATCTAATGGTCAGGGGTCCTTTTTACCCTGTTCTTCAGTCAAAAAAAAGATCCCAGCCTGCAATCCATTAAAACAGCGTTATCATCTTAAAACACACACACGCAACACAACGCACAAGGGAAACGGGATGGGGGAAAAGAGAAAAACCAAAGCCAAACCTCAGGCACCAATTTTTGAACAGCTGTTCCTGTGCCAGCTGGCACAGTTCAAAAGCAGGAGGTGCCTGATGGAGCCAGGCCTCCAGCAAATCTGATGCAATGAGCCTTCTGATTCCTATCTCTTCCACCAAGGCAGTCTGATGGAACGGCTGTCCCCACATGATGGGAGAAGAGGTCTGCAGGCAGACCCCCCCGTATCCTCTCCTCTGCTCCTGTAGACATATAACCCTGTCCCAGAGTGGGGAACGTGCAGCTCTCCAGATGAGGCATAGCCAAGATGGTGCCCTCCAGATATTACTGGACTACAAGTCCCATCAGCCCCGGGGCATCCAGAGGGCACAGCTTTGGCTACTGCTTGAGATGATGTTGGGTTCCCATCCACCCCAACCAGCATGGTCAATGCTCAAGCATGAAGGGAGCGGGGGGCAAATGTTGCACATGGGTATAGGGATATTGCCCCCTCTTTTTGAGCCAGGGAAATGGGCTGCAAAACAATGCATTGGCTTGCACAGGTGCACAATCTCAGTGTAAGGTGTTTAAATCTGCTGTTTGCATGTGTGTGTGCGCGTGTGTAATTGATCGTATAAGATTGTCAACCGGGCAGATGTTTGTAGGAGATAAAGGGTGTGGCGTGCCTGGTGACAGGTGAGTTTTCTACTAGCTCTAACTATTTAGAGACAGTCAGGTGTATTCCAGTGCTTGGGCTCACTCAAGAGCTCATCCAAATGAGAATTCAGAGACAAAAATCATCCAGCAACTTGCATACGAATATTCAAAATGTTTTCGTAGTGTTTATTTATTGCATTTTATATTCCACTTCTTTCTCCAAGGAGCTCAAGGTGGGGTGTGTGTGTGTGTGTGTGTGTGTGTGTGTGCGTGTGTGTGTGTGTATTCTCTCCCTCCCCCATTCAATTTCACAATAACCCTTATTTAATTGGCAGCACCAGCTTGAACTGGGGCCCTTCTGCATGCAGTGCATGTGCTCTGGCATCAAGCTAAGGTCACTCCTTCTGACCACAGGATTAAAAACAGAGAAGCATAGAAATGCAAGCTACCCTAACTGTCCAAGTAAGTAGGACTCTGGGTCCTTGCCACCCCACCCCCCATTTGTTTACCATTTCTGCTCCCCTGTCAACAGGCATCTTCCTGACCGCAAAAATAATTTCTTCAAGCAAATGATGGGATTTGTACGTCCATCTAAAGAAAAATTGCAATGAGATGCAAATAGATTTGCATGGGTCTCCTGCTCCTAAAATGAGACAGGCTCCCTTCCTCTGCCTCACCCCTCTTGCAAATTCTGCCCCCCTTTTATCTTTGGCCTGCAAATCTGAGAATTTTGCTTTTTAAAAAAATGTTTCTCATTTTTCTACTCTTAAGCTGTCCACATCAGCTTTAAAAAAGCAAGTTCTTGTGAAAATGCACCAGCGCTTTACGGCGAAATCTTCCTAATGTTTTCGTACACTGTTTTCCCTAACGCATACATATTTTGCAAAGCAATTTTCACTCCTTTGATGGATTTTTGCAGGCTCCTTTGAGGACTAGTACAAGGTGTTCAATGGTGGAAAGTCTTGGAAAGTGATGGGTTCTCCTTTGTTAGAGGTTTTTAAGCAAAGGCTGGATAATTACCTACCAAGGATACTGGAGCAGCGAAATGGCATCCTCTCTGACTCTTACAATTAAAATATACAAACATGGATGCATAACCTTGAAATCCAAAATGCCGAAATATAATTGATAGACCATTATAATCTATATAACTGATAGAACACTACTACTACTACCACTACTACTACTACTATTACTAATACTACTATTACTACTATTTAGGGCAGGAAAATAATATTACTATTTTTTAGGGCAGGGAATTTTTCATGGACCACATCAGATCCTCTTTCAAATTTTCACATTGGGGTTTCATTTTATCTCCCTTTGGAAATGCCACACCGTTTTGACCAGAATAAGTGTGCAAACAACATTGAGCATGCTGCTGGCTCCCAGGGGAAGACCTTTTTTTGTTATTAATATTATCTAAAGGAAAACCAGTTGACAGACAGAAAGGCTGAAGCCCTTAAGACTAGCAGAGGAGCTTCCTGCTTGGCAGGTCCCTCAGGTGGCTCAGACCTTTCGTGAAATGCACATGCTTGGCATGCACAAGTTTGCAGGTTCAATCCTCACCATTGCCAGTAAAATCATCATAATTCTAAAGGTAGCAGGGACTGTAAAAGCATATCTACTTGAGACAAAGTTGGGTGAAAACAGCCTATTGAACTGATCTGCCCTGTGTAAAAAGGTAAAGGTAAAAGGACCCCTGACCATTAGGTCCAGTCGTGACTGACTCTGGGGTTGCGGCGCTCATCTCGCTTTATTGGCCGAGGGAGCCAGCGTACAGCTTCCGGGTCATGTGGCCAGCATGACTAAGCCACTTCTGGCGAACCAGAGCAGCTCACGGAAACACTGTTTACCTTCCTGCCGGAGCGGTTCCTATTTATCTACTTGCTCTTTGATGTGCTTTCGAACTGCTAGGTTGGCAGGAGCAGGGACTGAGCAACGGGAGCTCACCCCGGTGCGGAGATTCGAACCGCCGATCTTCTGATCGGCAAGTCCTAGGCTCTGTGGTTTAGACCATAGTGCCACCCGCGTCCCTCTGCCCTGTGTATGTGTGTTTAAAAAATGGTTGTAGCCAACTAAGTTCTACTCAGAGAAGACCCACTGAAATCAATGGCCTTCAGTTAGGGCTCATCCATATTTAACTTTGCTCTGTGAATTCTATACATAGATCCGGCCTTTCTAGGAGTCCATGTCCAGGTGGGATTTTCTTGTTCTGGAGGTTTCCCTGGGGAAAGCTGCATTTATCAGGTTTTTCCCAGGTTGCTATTTGCTCCAATTCAGCAAGAAAAAGCAGGTTTTCCTGAGGAACGTACCAGGACGAAATCAAACAAAAAGAAAAACACTCAGACACAAATCTGGAAAGCTCAGACCTGTACCTAGAAAACCACAGAGCAAAGGTAAGTATGGATGAGCCTTTTGCCGTATTCTTTTATTTCAATGGGCCTACTCTGAGTAGGACTATCATTGCAGAGATATGTAATGTAACAGAAAGAAAGAAGAAAGAAACATCAGCTCACAATTAAGAACTATCTATCAATCCTGCTTTAGGCATATTCTTGAATATAAGCAGTCCACATGCCCAAATAGATATGCAAATTAGACTGGCAATTATAAGATATACGTTCGAATGTAGAAATGGCAGGAAGATTTTCAAGCCCAGTGAGTTATGGATGGTGGGTGTTTATCTTCCTGTAAGCCACTTTGCAACCATAAGAGCTTGAAGAGTCCACTTTCATTATCTCATTTCATTCTGGCAGGAAAACAGTTTAAAAGCACTTCACCGTATTCGTAAGCAGATAAATTGGGGTGTGTTGCATCGGAAGTGTTGGTTTTTGGTGATTTCCCTAAAAAATATGGCAACCCGATATGAGCTAGGGACCATATATGCTTAGTTTGCAGCTGGAATTAGACAATTTTGATGTTTTGACATTGTTGTTGAAGACATTTTGGTTGAAGAAGGGAGTGCAACCTGGTTATTTTATAGCAATTTTACAATTGTAGAAATGGTTTTATTGCTTTAGTTTATGGGGTTTATCATCTTTTCTGTTTTATCTTATTTATTTAGGAAATGCACGGACTGCTGGATCAAAACAATCTTCCAAGTAGTGCGCAAGTGAAATTGGAGTGGGTGGAGCCAGAGGCAAAGGTGGGCGGGACAACACACACTCACATGATCCTCTCTATCTTCCATTCAGACATGCAAGATGCAATATCAGAGTTCAAGGACACATTCTCCACAGTAACTCTAGCAGGGCTCTTACTGTGGTGGCCCCTATTCTGTGAAATAGCATTCCTGTTGAGATACAATGGGCACCCACTATCTTCACTTTCTGGAAACAATTCAAGACAGGTCTTTACCACAAATGTCTATTCTCATGGCTTCAGTTTTAAATGCATTTGCTCTCTTTTTTTGCTTTTTTAATTGTCTTTAATTATGTTTAGTCTAAATCATATTGGGATGGTTGTTTGGAGGAGGATTCATTTACTATTACTATTACTATTACTATTACTATTACTATTACTCTTACTCTTACTCTTACTACTACTACTACTAATAATAATAATACTCAGGCAAAAATACTTCAGATGTAAAGCAGTGAGAGGTGTGGCCTGAGTGGAAATCCAAGGGCCAAACAGAGAAAGCTTGAGGGCCACATTTGGCCCCTGAGCCACCCACCCCTGCCCTCGTATTTATGAAGTTATGCTGCTTCACTTCCTTATTGCGTTCTGGTATCAGGCTAATTTATTTCTGATGTTCCTGATCCCAAGAAATCTGAATCACAGGCTGGAAAGAGAAGCTAAGCCAATTATGAATAGTGCAAAGGGTGCAGTATTATTTATTTATTATTTATTTTATTCATTGTTTATTCTATTTGCCTCCCACCATTCCCAACCCCCTGAGGAGCTCAAGGTGGTGTAAATGGTTCTGCCCCTCCTCATTTGATCCCCACAACAACCCTGTGAGATTGGTTAGGCTGAAAGGCAGTGACTGGCCCAAGGTCATTCAGTGAGTTGCAGGGCCAAGTAGGGATTCGAACCCTGGTCTCTGAGGTCATAGTCTGACATTCTAACCACTACAGTAAAGGTAAAGAGACACCTGACTGTTAGGTCCAGTTGCAAACAACTCTGGGGTTGCGCACTCATCTCGCTTTATTGGCCAAGGGAGCCGGCGTACAGCTTCCGGGTCATGTGGCCAGCATGACTAAGCCTCTTCTGGCGAACCAGAGCAGCGCACGGAAACACTGTTTACCTTCCCGCCAGAGCGGTACCTATTTATCTACTTGCACTTTGATGTGCTTTCGAACTGCTAGGTTGGCAGGAGCAGGGACCCAGCAACAGGAGCTCACCCCGTTGCGGGGATTCGAACCGGTGACCTTCTGATCGGCAAGCCCTAGGCTCTGTGGTTTAACCCACAGCACCACCAGCGTCCCTTAACCACTACAGTACACCACACTTAACATTTGTTGGCTCTGGCTCCTCCCTCTCTTTGCGGCTACAGGGTGCTCGTCAGTATCCTGCGAATTATCCTCTTTTATCTGACTGAGACTCGCAGTAAGGGTCTGGGTTGTCCAGGAACACATGCAATTTGAGGGTGGGTTGGCGGATGAAGTACGTACGTGTGCAGGCTGCTGAAGGAGGGTCCTGCGCTGCTCTGTAAAAGTTGCTCTCACAGCGACACACCTGTGCTGCCTGGGTCTCGGAATAGCTGTGGGCAGGGCAGGTGGCACACAGCTGATCCCCGGGGGAAGACTTGTAGAAACCCAGTTGACAGGCTAGAGGGGGGGGAAAGGAGAAAGGAGAGAGATGAGAAGGCAGAAGACCAGCAGGTCAGTGCTTTAGCTCCCACTGTGGCAGATCCCTGGGCAGCCATAACTTTTGCTGCCGATGCGACACTGTGGAAAAGCAGCCCGTTACCATTCAGATGACTCCTCATTGATTTTGTCCTATGGGGAAACTAGGAAAAGGTAACTGCAAATTTCACTTTGGGTACCGTAGGCTAGTTTCTTCACAGGCACCCCTGTCTGTCCCTCCATCAGTGTATGCAAGAGGCACCATCAGATCTCCAGGGCATATTCCAGCCAGGCAAAAACACTCAAGGAGGCAGCAAAGAGGGCTGAGGGGTATGCCTTTGCAAAGTCCCAAGGGCCAGATATAAAGGTCTGGAGGTCCACATGTCACCCATGTGACTCAGGTTCCCCACCCCTGCTATAACCACTACACCACATTGTCTCTCTAGCTTTTAATTGGTTGGTTTAGTTTCTGGAAATCTGAGTTTTGAAGGCATGGTCTTCCCAATCCACCACTCATTCCCATTCATCAATAAAGAGCCACTCCCCCAAATACTAGTTGCTAGGCATCATAATTGGGGAGTGTGATGTCTCACTCAATTCCTGCTTGCAGAATTTCTGGGTGCATCTCGCTTGGCTTTCATAAGAAAGGGAAGCTGGTCCTAATAGGCCACTGGCTTGATCCACCAGGGATCTCTTTGTTCTGATGCATTGTATTCTCCTTTTGAAAAATGATTGTTCAGATTCTGAGAGGATAAGGAGTAGCAATTGCTGGACTTGTAAAAGAATATTGCGAAATGATCCATAATGAATTGGGAAAAAATGTTTTAAAAAACACAGAATCCTTTCTGTTAAGGATAATTCAGACTGAAATTCCCAGGTGCTCAAAGGGGTTATTTGTGTATGCTACTACTGTGGCCTGTGTTTTGTTAGCCCCAAAATGGAAAACGAGTGAGGTCCCAACCAAAGAAGGAGGGCAACTTAAGTTGACAGAATATGCACAACTTGCAGACTTAACATATAGAACAAGAGAACAAGAAGAACATACATTTAAAGAAGATTGGAAAACGTTTATTGAATATATGGGGGGAAATTGTGTGCAGCTGAAAATGCTGGCAGCATTAAGATAAATTCAACAGTGTAAACAAGTTTTGATGGATAAAATAATGGAATACTGAATGGTATAGTTTTTGTAAAATATGCAGGGATTTATGATATGTAAAACGAACCATGGAAAGAGAAGAATGGAAGTCATAGATTTTTAAGGATGTAAAATCAGTATTTTAAATTGTAAAACAGAAAATTTAATGTGTGTGTGTGTGTGTGTGTGTGTGTGTGTGTGGAGTAGCAATGGCTGCTAGTCAATGTGGCTCTGTTCCACCTCCACTATCAGAGACATGAAGCCTTTGAATACCAGTTTCTGGGAGTCACAGGCAGGGAGAGTTTCTCTTGAACTCAGGTCCTGCTTGCAGACTTCCCATAATGGGTGTCTGGTTGACCACTATGGGACAGGATCCTGAAGCAGATGGTCCTTTGACTTGACCCAGCAGAGCTCTTCCTACGGTCTCAGAAGATGCCCTAAGGCTGTTCTGCAGATCCCATGACATTTGGAGTACGCATTTGTTTTCTAGGTTTGCTCATTTCCCTACCACCTTCCCCATAGTCTTCCCTCTGTCTCCTGTTTCTTCTTGCCTGCCCTTTTCCCTCACTGCTTTCCTTCTTCCCACCCATCTCTCTATGTAACCAGCTGCCACCTGCCGCGTCCTCCTGCCTTGGGAGCTGACAGGCTCATCTCCCAAAGCGCAGGGGGACGAGTGTGGGTGGGAGGGCCCAGCCAAGCCATCTGCAGCATGGTCCGTTTGTCCTCCTGCTCGCTCTTCTGAGAGACAGGAGAACATCTGCTAATAAGTCGGTGGGATGGCTGAAATGATAGGCAGGCCTGTCTGTCAAAGAGATGATAGCAAAGTGAGAACCACTCTGCTGGGTACCAGCTCAGAGTTCAGGGGGGCGGGGGCTGCACCATGAATATGAAAGGACTTTGGGGACACAAAGGCTGCATTCAGAGCAGCTCAGCACAGGAGTAAAGAAAAACAAGACAGGCTCATTCCATCCACCCACTCATTGCCAGGTTCAGAGCCTGTAACCATCACACACCCTTCTTGCAAATTCCACTGTTCAACCTTATTTACTATTTGGCTTCCCTTTGGTTTTAGCTAAGGCAGGAATGGGCTTCTGGGACTCTCTGTCTGGCTCTTGGGACTCTCCCCAGACCACACCCCTCTCTGGCCCTTCTTTTCACCCTGCTTGTGTGTTTTTGCCTGGCAGGAATAGGTCCTTGAGCCGGATCTACAAATTTTGCCATAGGAGGCAAATGTATGCACTGCCACCCTCACATTCTGTGATTGTGAACTCCAAGTGTCAAGGGTCTATCATTGACTTACTGGAATATTGATAATCTGCAGTTCCTTAAAATATATTGCTACAAAAGTTGGGTGCCACCCCTCACTCTCTGCCGAGCGATGACAAAATCCCAGGGGCTTCCAGGCACACACCCAGGGTCTGTCGACTTTTGGAGAATTAAGACACAATGGAGACTGTCGGAGCTTGAAGAAATATGGTTTATTCACTTATTTACACCTTCAGTCTGCATGGAAGGAGTCTGGCTTTTACAGCATGGTCATTTCAAGAAGGGCAGTGCAGCCCTGGAGTCCAAGGCATCTCTCTTTGTTAGCACTGCAGCCAACCTGTCTGAGATGGATCCCGGTCTTTCCTCCCTCTCCTTCTTCTTCCCAGCAACTTTTGCGAAAGACTCCCTTTTACTGTCAACCTTCCAAACACCCCCCCCATCTCTGTTCACATGGGGAGGACAGTTCTCTTGCATTGCCAGTAGCTCTCAACGCCTAGCTTGGCCAGGTTGTTTTTGCACAGGCTACTTTGGGAATTCCTCTACGGCTTGTATTTTCATCCATACCCCAATTAATCAAAATCCTACCATTTATTAATTTCTAGGATTTGGTGTGTGTGTGCCCCCCCCCAAAAAATCTATGACAATATCAAAATGGCTTACAAAACAGCGGGGTCTTTGTTCGCCTTCTGGCACTCACTAGTCTGCTCTCCTTCCAAGCAGCAACAGCAAAAGCTGCAACCACAGCAACACCCCCATCATCAACCCCAGCCTTTGGTTAGCCACGGCTAAAGGAACAGGGTCTTTAGCAATGTGGCCTGCTTCCTAGGGAACAGCAAGGACAAGGCACTGCTGGAAACTGACCAGGTTCTACAGCTGATGCATGGGTGCCAATTTGCATAAAAGATGGGGGGAGTTGCAGGTAAGCTCCACCCTGCATAATTGATCACAAGACACACACCATTTGAATGACAATGCCCATTAACTTTGGGGGAGCCCAGACCCCTCAAATATTTTATTAGGGAGGGGGGAGAGACGAAGGGACCTCAACCCCTAGGAGTTGGCTCCTATGAGCTGATGTCTGGGCCTTGCACCAAACCCTGTGCTAGGCATCATCACTGCTTGGAAAGGTGTGGGTCAGCAGGGCTTGGCTTGGCCACACTGTGTGCCAAATCAGACCTATGGGCCAGAGGTTTCCCCATCCCTGCCCTTTCCCTTCCTGGACTGCTTGTCTGCTGGGGAAGCTGACGCTTGATGGATGAACTCCAGCCTCTCTTTGACTGTCAGTTTATTATACAGAGAGAAAACCCTGGGAGAGTTGAGGGGGTAGGAGGCTCCGAGGAAGGTAGCCCGGTTGTACTAAGCTGACAGCACCCAGGCCTCTGTGACAGGCCCTCGCCTCTGGGGACGTGCCTTCTGGTGACCTGCAAGGGATGAGAGAGACTCTGAAGCAGGAGCTCAGGTCTCCCCTCTGTGCTCTTTCTGAAGGCGATGGCTCCTGAGGGATGGCAGGGGCGGCCCCAAGGTTCAGTCCCTTTACCTCTGATTGGCATGGGGGTCGCAGCCTGCTTAGCATAAGTGACACAGCCGTGGCTGGGAGCCTTTGGAAGGGCTCAAGCAACGATCCCTGTGAAATGCTAAACTCTCCAGCGAACCAGGCTTGCAAGGCTTATGCTATCGGAGCAGTTGCAGGGCTAAGGGAAAATTCTTTTGTATCTAGCCCGCCCTAGATACAAAAAGACAGCATCTTTTTGCCAATATCAGAGTACAGGGCAGAGCACATGGCATTCGCAGCTCTGTCCTCTCCCTGCACCTTAGCATTTGCCGCCTGAGGCAGCTGCCTCACTCTGCCTCTTCCTAGGGCTGGCTCTACCCACTCAGCACACCCTCTTCCCCAAACCACACCCCTCACCAGCCTTGCTTCACACCCTTTTTAAGGGATCATTAGGAAAAGGAATTGAAAGCAAAAGTGCTGATATCATAATGGCGTTATATCAGTCAATGGTGCATTTGGAATACTGTGTACAAGTAACGTATGTCTTAAGTGAGTGTTAGGTTCCGGGGGTCTATGTATATATGCAAAAATGTGTAAAGCCGGGAACCCCGGAAAGTGGGCTCTGGAATGCTGCCAGAGCCCTTGCAAGCTCCTTCCCCAAGCCAGGTAAGCCCACAATTGCAGAGTTGTGCGGGGGCAGGGGAATAAATGAATGGAAAATTGGTTTCCTTCACTTTCCATTGATTTATTTATTTCCACCCAGCCACAATCTTACAATCAAGTAAGTAAAATAATTACAAGTGACCTGTACAAAATCTCGTCATGTCACCTCAGAAAGGAGCTGGGAAAGGTTCAAAATAAGTCAACCAAAATGATCAAGGGGTTGGTGTCACCTCCCCCTCCAAGGAAAGGTATTTGGAACATTTTAATTTAGAGAAAAGACTAGGGAGAGGTGACAACATGACAGCAATTTGGAAATTTGCTTTGTGACCGACTGACAGTCTTGGTAGCACAGGGAGCCAGTCTGGTCCGTGGGGCTCTTGGTTCTGCCACCTGCCTGACCCTTAAGAAAAATGCATAGCCACAGCAAGACTGTGATGCTTTCAGGAATTTCCAGCAAACACAGGAGGGGTGATCAACTTCCTTTACAGTCTCAGTCCAGCAACAGGCACTATCCTATGTCTCCTCTTCCGCTGCCTTGGAAGCTCCTTTCTTAGGTAAACATTAAAGCTATAAAGAAGTCCTTAGCTGTGCAAACATCTTTAAGAAATAGGATGCCTAGCTGTGAGAAGGAATGGGGAATTAATTTGGAGTCACATTAGGATGCTACCACGAAGGTAAAGGTTTAATTTCTTCCCCTGCCCAAAAAAATTGAATTTCTCTGATATTTATAGAAAGATGATTAGGACTACAAAGTGGGGTTTACATCATCCTGTCCCAATGGCAGGGAATGAAATATTACCCAGGGTGACAGCAGTGTGGGATCTCGTTCTGACAATTAAAACGGCGGAACGAGGAATTTCCAATTCCAGTTGATTTGGGTTATCAATCTTGCAGCGCCAATTCTTTTCTCTACTGAAAGAGCCGGCTAAACATCAGGAAGAACTCTCTGACAGTAAAAGCTGCTCAACAGAGGAACGGTCTCCCTTGGAAGGTGGTGGACTCTCCTTCCTTGGAGGTGTTTAAGCAGAGGTTGGATGGCCATCTGCCATGGATGCTGTAGCTGACATTCCTGCATTGCAGGGGATTGGACTAGATGACTCCTTGGGGTCCCTTCCAACTCTACAACACTATGATTCTAAGTCCAGGCTAAGAGTGCTTTAACTGTGACTGGGACACCACATTCAATGAGTGTGCTAATGTGCGTGCCTGTATACACAAGTGGTGAACCTGTGCACTCGCACTGTTGTTCAAATGTAGCATCCAACAAACATGGAATCTCTGGTCTTCACAAATTTGCTGCCAGAAAAAGGAAAGGGTTTAAGTGTCACCAATTAAGGTTGCATTAATATGAAACTGTGTTCCATTACCCGATGCTTCCCTAACTGCTAATTTACGCATTATATTTGGGCTTCCACACAATGTAAAAGCCACTTCCAGAAATGTAGCAGAATATAGCACATGTTTAGCACTCGTTCATGTGTTACTTGCTTCCGGGGGGAGGGAGGATGCTTTGCAAACAACACAGAAACGAGCACTAAATTTGCACAGTATTTCCAGGAATGGCTTTGACTTTGGGTGAAAGCTCAGATGTAGTGTGGAAGTTGGGGAGACATTGGGGAAACAGGTTCAACTGCTGTGTGAAAGCAGCGATAAGGCACCATTGAAGCAATTCCCTTTTACTGGCAACAAGGCAAGGCATACTAGGTCTGTTGTGCTTCCTAAAAAACAAGCCCGCTACCAAGGTTTACATTTGATAGAAAGAATTGTGCAGTGTTGCTCTTTTCATTTTTTTCTGCACAGGGTCTTAACTGTAGAAGAAAAACACTAACTTCTCAAACTATCAGAATCATAGCAATTTTTAAAAACCCTGTAAATAAATAATTCTTACTAAGAGGTGTTTGCATGTTCAATTCAATGCATGCACTATCTGTGCACCCGTGTACACAGATAGCTAAGCTGTACCAAGTATATTACTTCACACATGCAGAGAGAGAACTTGTACCTGTGTTCAGCATAATCCCAGGTTTTTGGGGGGTCCAAGGTGCTGTTTTTGATCTTTAGTCCCTTCACAGCTCAGGGACAGGGGACTTGGAGGATTCTCTGATTCTCTGACTCTCTCTCTCTCTCTCCACCCCCACTTATATCTCCCCAGACCATCATATTTTCTCTGAAGGGTCTTCTCCAACTGCCCCTATTGCAGTGATGCCCACGTGACCTCATGAGACCTCAGGTGCATGACAGGAAAAACTCCAGGGCATGACTGAAAAGGAAGAACTGGAGTTCTATTTTAGGGGAAATTGCTAGCAAAGAATATATATACAACAAAGGAATTGCAGAGTTGGAAGGGGTGCCCAGCGGTCATCTAGTCCCACCCCTGCCTGCCTGACCTGACATTCACTTTCCTGCCTGATGCCTACCCTCCGTATCACCCCTCCACTCAACAGCTGTTGAGGGGGCAATCTGGAGGAGGAGGAGGACTCCTTCCCCAGTCCTCTCCTTCCTATATCATAATTATGATTTCAAGACCTAATTAAACATTAGCAGCGCCAACGAGGGCTGTGGCTTGTGGAGAGGGAATGTGGCCTAGGGAGAGTCTTGAGGGCCAGATACAGAACCCTGAAGGGCCACATTCAGCCTCTGGCCAGGAAGTTCCCTCTTTGCTTTACCTGGTTCACAGCCTATGTGACTTCCGAACTTGCAATGTATCCAGGGCAAGTGAAGACGGGCATCTGTCTAGCTTAGCCGTGTCCTTCCCTGCGTGACTTTGCCAGAGGTAACCTTGTGCAAGGTATTGTCAATCCTGCTGTTCACATTCCCCCCGCCTCTAAACAAAGCCGCCTTTTCATATTTGCCAAGTCAAAGCTCTGCTCCTCTAAATAGAGCTTTTTCCCCCCTGAAAGAAACTGAAAGCAAACAAAGCCTCCTATGAGGACCCCAGTCAAGTCGCCTGTTGTACACATGTAGCCTCAGGGCAGTGTGTACTGCTGCCTTCTGCACAGCTGCTGCCTCCTTATCGTCGTTTATACAGTTGCAAGCTGCAGCCGTCTTCCCAGAGCCCACGGACACTCGGGGAAAACGCCTCCGTCTTCCTCCAAGTGCTCGGCGGCGATGGATTAAGGAGATAGCTCTGTTTCTGTTGACTTTGCTTTTGTTTTCTTTGCTGAGGAAATTTCCTCCAAAGGAAAGGCAGGGCTGCAGAAAAAACGGCCGGCTGATGGAGCCCAGAAGTGGCCAGAGCCCCCAAGGGAAGGCCCTGGAGCAGAGCCAAACGCACACAGCTGGAAGGGAGGCCGCTCGGCATAGAGCCAAATAATCAATGCATGTGAGGCTGGCGCTCAGGGCAATCTCTACTCGGAGCAAATCGGGTATCTCCATTGTTATTGACTCCTGCACTGTACGTGGGCCCAGAAGGACCTCCAGCTTCTAATTCCACCTCGAGAAGTCCTGGGAAAGTAGACAGCAGTGGAACCGGAAACAATGTAATAATCCTTGACTCCAGGATGCGTGCTGTAAGCTGTTAGAGAACTAAGCTCTTCTGTCTGGTTTCCTATTTTGCTCCCTTTAACCAACACCTTGACATCCTCCAGGTTATGGAAGCAGCAGCAGATTTAGGGTGGTGTGGGCTAAGGGGGCATAAAATTGAGGAAACCCATAATCCATTTGGGGGTGCCAAATTTTGGCCTTGCACAGGGGACTGTATTACTAGGGTTGCCATTTCCTGGACTTATCCATAATATCACAGTCGGCAGCAGTGTCCAGGCAGAAATAGGTCAAATCTAGACCTACGGCAGCCCATGGCGGCAGTGCTGAAGAACAGCAATTTTTTTCATGATTTTGCCAAAAAAGCTCAACAACTTTTCTGTCCAGATTTACCCTAGCATTATGAAAGATTACTGAAGTCTGCCCCTGATGGAAGCTCACAGGTCATTGTCAGGCAATATTGTGATTTCTTTTTTTTTAGCTGCAATTTGGGGGTGGGGGGCAACCCTGTCCCTGTTCTTTGAAGTGGACCTGACCAAATAGAGCAGCCCCAAAACATTTTCTCCCAGTGCCTCTTCCCTCCGTCCTTCTCAACAGCAGCAACAGTAGTTTTGCACAACCCGCATCCAGACTTACCCAGACACGAATCCCTTTGCTCCTCATAGCCGGCACTGCAGACGCATTTTCCGATGGGCACCAGCCACTCCCCGTCAGCACTGCAGTACATTTTCGGGGTGTCCCTTTCCTCAGAGTGCCCCACGCACTCGCCCCGCACCTCCACAAGGGACGAGGAGTCTGCTCCTGTCACTGCCTCGGAGAAGGACGCCAAGTTCCTCACCATGGCCGGGCACTTCTTGTAGTAAACTCGGACCGAGACGATGGCAATGCAGGCGCCAATGTCCTGGAAGGCCAGGTAGAAGCCTCTTTTGCTCAGGGGCCCCACGCCACGCACTTCTGTGTTGAGCTTGAGTCGCCGGACACCCAGGTCCACGTTGGTGAAGCTCTCGTCGGCCGCAATGGTGTCAATCTTCACAAACTGGCTCTCGCGGGGGGTGCTGCCCAGATCGCGGTCCGACTGGAGGTAGTAGAGGTTGAAGGTCTCCTTGCATGTGCCCAGGACCCCTGGCATGCTGTTGCAGTCCCGCAGGGTGAAGCGGATCTCTGCGTACACCCGGTGAGCCCCGTGACGCTGCACCCAGCTAGTCCGCAGCCAGTTGTTCTGGTTGGGGGACATGACATTGCAGACTTGGTAGGTGTGGATGGGGTTGAAGAATTCATCCATTTCGTTGATGGAGTCCCACTTGGAAGGAAAGAGCAGGAGAGAGGAGTTAGAGGCACCAGGTCCAGCAGATTTTGTACTTCAAACCTATGTCCCAAGGTAAGGGATGACACAACAGATAGAAGCTAGGCGGGATTCATGCTTTAACTGACACCTTGACCTTTGTCAACAGACAAGAGTAGGGGAGAGCTGTAGGGCTACAGTCATAAAGACACTGACTTCAGACTCACTGAATTCAGTCAGGCTAGGGGAAGAAAGTGGTTCAATTCACATTTTAATGCCAGCTTACAGAGTTTGTGCTTCCAAAGGCGAATATGCAAACTGAAACACATTTCTCTGAATTTTGCAATGCAGTTCTCCAGCCAAGCAATAAAAGTTAAAATCCACATATTCGTGAAATGTGCACACAAAATAAAGTATAGAAATGCATTTGGGTAAAGTTGCTCATGAAACTGCATATACCAGAAACATACGTGTATAAAAATGTACATATTAGCAGAAATGAGCACAAAAAACAAGTATGAATTTTCATATTGCCATTTTGGGGGTAGGGAAATGTATGTGGGAATGGGGCAATCTAAATTAAGACTGGGAAAATGAGAAACTGGAAGAAACCAAAATATGCAGATTCATCCATCCCTAAACAGGACTTATTTTGTTAGTTGGATGAGTCCAGAGGTTACAGAACTACGTAGATCTAGACAGAGGACCAGACCGGGAAGTGGCTAACCCGACACAGGCCACTCTGGCAGGTAGGCGGGCTATGTACCTATCACTCATCTGATGCTATATGATGTTAGATCATTGATAGTTCAAGCCCAGGTGTGCACTCTAAGTGTGCTCTTGATCCTTCCTTTACAAACAAAATTTGGCGTGTTTTGAAGTTGGAGACTTTTCTTTTTACTGTGCAAGGCAGTAGAAAAAAGGCATCCAATTCAAAAATGCTCCCAGGTGACTTGAATTTTCTCATATGACATCAGGCCCAGGAAAGATAATAATGATGATGATGATGATGATGATGATGATGATTTTTTTTATTTATATCCCGCCCTCCCCAGCCGAAGCTGGCCTCAGGGCGGCTAACAACAATAAAATAATACAACATTCTAAAATCATTTCATTATAAAATTAATTCAAATCAAATTGATGGCAACCATTGGGCTAGAGTTCTGTGAAGATTGCCAAAGGAGGGAATCAGGCTGTGCCCTAACCAAAGGCTTGGTGGAACAGCTCTGTCTTGCAGGCCCTGCGGAAAGATGTCAAGTCCCGCAGGGCCCTAGTCTCTTGTGGCAGAGCGTTCCACCAGATCGGAGCCACAGCCAAAAAAGCCCTGGCTCTGGTTGAGGCCAGCCTAACCTCCCTGTGGCCTGGGACCTCCAATATGTTTTTGTTTGAAGATTGTAAGTTCCTCTGTGGGACATACCAGGAGAGGCTCAGGTTTGCCCCGAACAGCCTTGCAAGCCGACCTCCAAGACCATATTAAGCCCATGTGGTGGAAGTTTCCCAACAGCTGATTATTTAAAGCACTTTCCGTATTTGAAAGAGGTTCCTCTGATTAACTGGGATGCAAACTGTGCAAGAAAAGGGACAGGCTGTGAGAACTCCTATTACAACCTAACATGCACTGCCTTGTTCCTATCTCTGTTTCTTTTTTCATAAAGCGAAATGACTCTCCTCTCTTCCCATGTCATTGAGATAAGGTCTCCTAGCAAGATGAAAATGAGGACATCATAATTAATGCGGCAGGCAAGCGGGTTTGATTACATCTGTATTCAGGAACTTGTTAACAGTTTAAATTAAAATCAACACAAGATTTTAAACACACACACACATACACACCAGATTATAAAGGGATAAAGATGCAAATAATAGATACGAGTGTGGCTTAAGCTTGCCCACATGGGCAAAGGAAGAAGGAAGCGCAGATGTTTGCTGGGAGAAATTGTTTGGCAAAGGGGGGATTTTTTCCTCCTACTACGCTACTAGAATTTGGGGTTATTCAATGGAAGATTCGGGACAGACAAAAAGAAGTAACTCTTCTTCACACAGTGCATATTTAGACTGTAGAACTCTCTCCCACAAGAAGCAGTGGTGGCCACCAACTTGGAAGGCATTAAAAGAGGAATAAATAAATTCATGGAGGAGAAGAATAGAGGCTGTAGGGCAATCAGTTCCCCACTGAGCCTTCTAAAGCGGTAGCCTAAGTCAGTCCATCAAAAAAGATGGTGGCTACTTCCTTCCCAGGGGGTGGGATTCTCAGAAACATTGGGAAACAAGAAACTTAACAGTATGGAAATTTGGCTCAACCCAACAGGAATCAAAGAAGTGTAGAATTAGAAGAGACCACAAAGACCACCTAGTTCAACCCCCTGCAATGTGGGAATTTTTCACCCAACATGAGGTTCAGACCCACAATTAAGATTCCCATGCTCTACCAACTGACCTATCGCTCATCCCTCTCCATAGGTTTTCCAGGTGACTTACCCCATGGGAAGGGTAGGTGAGCCAGCCCCAGTCGCCAATAATGGTGGAAGTGTCCAACAAGTTCACTGAAAGATATAAGAAGAAAACTTTCATTAGACAGACAGAGAATGTGAGGCACGCACAATGCTTGGGCCTTCAGACTCTCCCACAAGAAGTCTGAAGAACCTGGGAGCCCTCAAATGAATGGATGCTCTATAGCAGGGGTGGGGAACCTGCAGCCCAGGAGCCAAATGCAGCCCTTTAAGCCTTTCCATTTGGTCCCTGGGATTCTTCCCAGGCCACACCCCATTTCCAGTCACACACCCTCTCCCCAGGCCACACCCCTCACTGGCCCAACTCTGTACCCTCCTTGAGTGTTTTCGCCTGGCTGGAATCTGTCCTTGATAAGGCCTTCTGTTTGCCTGGATGGCGGATAGAGAGGATTGTGTGAGAAACTAACAAACTACAGTGGTACCTTGGGTTACATATGCTTCAGGTTACATACGCTTCAGGTTACAGACTCTGCTAACCCAGAAATATTACCTCGGGTTAAGAACTTTGCTTCAGGATGAGAACAGAAATCGTGCTCCAGCAGCGCAGCGGCAGCAGGAGGCCCCATTAGCTAAAGTGGTGCTTCAAGTTAAGAACAGTTTCAGGTTAAGAACGGACCTCTGGAACAAATTAACTACTTAACCTGAGGTACCACTGTATACCATGGTAAAATTGTGCGATGTGCATCAAAATGTATGGATTAGTAAAAATAAGTATAAAAGCATGCATTCCATTAGGGGAAACTGCTTTGAAAAAATGTGCAAAAATACCTGCAAACTGTCAGGAGAAATTCTCAGTTTTCATGAGGACATTTAAAAAAAAATTCACAAACTGATGTGGAGATGTAGAAAAGCGAACTTAAGAGTGGAAAGATGAGGAACGTAGAGAAACAGAAACTGACAGATTGGACCGTCACTAAGCTTGAGTGAAGGCAAGGTTGGGAGCCTCTGCCCTGGGAAGCGTGATGGCAGAAGCAGCAACATTTGTTCAACAGCTGGTATTCAAGTCTGACATCGCACAGATGCAAGCACACCTCTAAAGCCCAGTGGTGTTACCCAGAGCTTTTTTCAGCCAGAACTCACGGGAACTGCGTTCCGGCACCTCTCAGATGGGCCCCATTGTCATTATAAGAGAACAAGGGAGGTATTTATGGTGAGTTCCAGCACCCCTTTTTCTAGAAAGGGGTGTTAGCCACAACTGCAGAATAGAGCTTGCTTTTTCCATAATAAGCCAGCCTCCATCATACACCTGAGTTTTGTGTTTGATTAACCTCTCTGAGAGTCTTTTTGGTTGAAGAGTGGGGTACAGATCCACTAAATAAAATAATAAATCCATCTAGACACCCGGAAGAAATGCCAGGTCCAGCATTCCTCCCCATGAATCTGTGCATTGCTCTTTCTTCTTTCTTTCTTTCTTTCTTTCTTTCTTTCTTTCTTTCTTTCTTTCTTTCAAGGGCAGAGCCACTCCATCCAAAACAACGTGCTCCCACTTCCCCCTTGCAATCTTTACTTTCCAGAGGCTCAGCCAAGTCCTTCTCTGTTTGTTTCACACTTCCTGCGGGAATTAATCCAGGTTTGAAGTCTGCACACTAAAGCCAAAGTAATTATGCCCCGTGGTGCACAGCTACGACATGCACACACGCAAACCCATACCAATACCTCTCTGCTCACACCAAAAGAAGCAAGCGGGCAGGATCTCCCAAGCAGAGATTTCATGGAGTAGGGGGAGACAGCAGGGGTGGAATCAAAGTCACCTGCTCCAAAGTTGTCCGCCTCCAGGGAGCCCAGCTTAAGTTAATGAGGAAGTCGAGGCAAATTGCTCTGCTCGTGATCTGGAAACCAAATGCCTTTCAACACTCTGGTGAAGGTTCTCTTTAATCTAGCCATGTGCGTGTGTGCTGTGGGTGGGCAGCCAAAAGCTCAGCCTCCTCCATGTTGGACATTCGTTGTGTCAAGCGAGAGCCTCATGGGGCCATTTTCTTGGCAACCCTGCGATGGGTGGGAATGAGAAAAGGCCAGCAGCTGCCAGCCAAGGTCCGTCATACCCTCCAATATTTATCAGATGAAAACAGGGACGTTCTGTTCCATCATCATCATCACAATAATTTTACTATTTATACCCTGCCCATCTGGACAGGGTTGCCTCAACCACTCTGGGCGGCTTCCAACATATATAAAAACACAGCAAAACATTAAACATTAAGAAACTTTCCTACACAGAGCTGTCTTCAGATGGCTTGGGGGTCAGATAGCTCCATACCCTCCAACATTTCTCTGGTGGAAATAGGGACATCCTAAGGAAAAGGGGACATTCCAAGAACAAATCAAAAACTGGGATGGCTTCCATAAATCCGGGACTGTCCCTGGAAAATAGGGACACTTGGAGGATCTGTCAGTGCATGGATACTTTTGCAGGATACAGCTCATGCTGCAAGCAACAGATTTTGGATCAGGGACATACAGTAGGCCTTATACTGTGTCAGAATCTTATTCTTATCTATCTCAGTACTGTCTACACAGGAGAAGAACCATGTAGCTTTCTAGAACTCCTTGGCAGAAGGATGTGACTGAAATATACCTCTGAGTGTGCCCGTTTTGTTCCTACAATGTATTTATCCTGCTTTGTCTGAATAATTTTCTGGAGCTTTTCCTTCCCTTCAGTTTCTAGCACCTGATATGCCAACCATGCATTGGAGAACAAAGCCCCACTGCGTACCTGCCCATTAAGTAGCAAATCCCCCCATTTTTCTTCCCCTAGGGCGCCGGCACAGAAATATTTTCCGCTCTCCATGCTGACATTTCCCATCCCCGCATTTCCTCTGCACCACTTCAGCCACAAATAGGCCACAAATTATGATCCAGTTCTTCAGGGGAACACAGATGTTCTGAGTCTGGCCTTTGTTGTGAATCCGGGAAGTGATTCCAAGGCTTAAAATGTGCTTGTGGTGAGGAAACAACTCACCACCCAGCCAGCAATAAACTGCAATATTTATGCCGCTGGATAAATATTATTCTTACCATCAAATTGCATGACTGTGGCCACCAGAAGTTGCTTTGTCAAATACAGTGGCATGCGGAGCCGGCAAGAGACATTTTGGCACCTGAGGCGAAGGCACCCCCTCCCCTCCAGGGAAGAAGGGGTGAGTGATGATCAGGAAGATCAGGATCAAGGGGGGGGGATAAAGATCTACACTGGGATCTGCTGCCCCTATAGATCCTGCCACCTGAGACATGGCCTCCCCTTGTCTCATGGGTGGGCCAGCCCTGGTGGCATATGTCAAATCAGCCTCTGGCTAGTGCTGGTGAAGACACAACTAGAAATTTGGACCCTCAATGTCATGCCCACATTGTGTTGAACATTGCACTGTATTTAGAACTAAGTTTCATTGACTTACTCCAGGGTAAATGAGCACAGAAATCCAGCCTTCATTGTGAATCTTGTGTGTGTCTACTCAGAAGCAAGCCCAGTTGAAATCGGTGGGATTTACTCTCAGATAAGTATGTATAGGATTGCACGTTTAGGGAGCACTCCTGTACCAATTTGCTTAGATGTAAGGACGGGCACCTATGCCAATTTTGGTTTTTCTCAGTTCCTCATTTTTCCATTCTTAAATTTGGCCCTCCATATTTCCACATCAGTTTGCAATTCTTTTATAAAGTCCTCATGAAAAGTCATCAGCATTTTAGGGCAAATTTCTCCTAATCTACACTTTTGTATGCCATTATCCCTAACAGACACATTTGTTTTTGCAAAGCAACTTCCCCAAATATAATTCATTTCTGTAGGTTTTTTTTTTTATGGCATATGTACATTTGCATGCACACCTTATCTTTGCATGCACATTTTTTTGGGTAGACATTATTCGGCTGGAGAACTGCATTGCAAAATTCAGAGAAATGCAAATTTCAGTTCTTGTTTTGTTTCTAAAAGTACAAATTAGGTGGGTTCACCTTTTAATGTGAACTGAATTGAATCTCCCCCCCAAAAAAAACTACTTGGAAGTAAGCCTCACTGGACTTAATTCTAAGCAGATATGCATAAGGATTCCACTGTTAATATTTTAAATTATTCTTTTTAAAAATTGGGAGGATGTCGAATCAGCAAGCAAACACACACAACCCTACCTATTGTATCACCCAATTGCCAGGAGGCTCAATTAGTTCTTTAAACCAAAAGGCTGGCCCAACCCCCCTTCCAGCATTGCTCGGGCCATTTTATTCTGTCTCCCCACCCCCCATCCCGGTTCTCTTTTGGCCGACGAAACTCCCTTTCCACTTTCTCTACATTAGTTCATTTGCCCATAAATTAGGATTGACCTAGATGTGCCATTGTTTGTGCAATTAGCAATTGCACGGTTACGATTAAAAACAAAAACTGTAAACGAAGCTGGCATGGTCCATAGTGATGGCGTTGAGGAAGGGGACTTAATCCTTGCTTCTACTATGACTATGACCCCCCCAACTGCAGCAAGCCAGAACTTTGACTGCCTCCACTCCCCATAGTCCAGCTTTGACAGGTGGTTGACCCTGCCCACTTGTCAGTCACTTGACATCATTATGATGACAGGTGACAACTTCAAAGAGGCTGATCAGCTGTTGGAGGCATGCTGTCAGCATCAAGAGGCAGATTCTGCTGAAGACATGTCTCTGAAGGAGCTTGCTGTAACCCCTGGCAAGCTGCCTAAGGAATGAAAATATCTATTTGCAGTTTGTATTTTTAGCTGTTCCATCATTTACAACATCAGGTGTTGGGCAGGTAAGTACTGTTTGTGGAAAACCTTTTGGCTGTTCCCTCACTGGGAGAAATGAAGCTATAGGGAGTCAGGCAGAGGACCTTCTCAGTAGTGGCACGTACACTGTGGAACGTTCTCCCATCAGATGTCAAGGAGATAAGTAACTCTACAACCTTTGGAAGACATTTGAAGGCAGGCCTGTATAGGAAAGCTTATAATGTTTGATGTTCCATTATATTTCTGTATATGCTGGAAGCCGGGACGCGGGTGGCACTGTGGGTTAAACCACTGAGCCTAGGACTTGCTGATCAGAAGGTCGGTGGTTTGATTCCCTGCGACGGGGTGAGCTCCCATTGCTTGGTCCCTGCTCCTGCCAACCTAGCAGTTTGAAAGCATGTAAAAGTGCAAGTAGATAAATAGGTACCGCTGTGGCGGGAAGGTAAACGGTGTTTCCGTGCGCTGCTCTAGTTCACCAGAAGCGGCTTAGTCATGCTGGCCACATGACCCAGAAGCTGTACACCGGCTCCCTCAGCCAATAAAGCAAGATGAGCGCCGCAACCCCAGAGTTGGCAACGATTGGACCTAATGGTCAGGGGTCCCTTTACCTTTACCTATAAGCTGGAAACCACCCAGAGTGGCTGGGGTGACCAAATTAAAACAACCTTATGGGCCAAATGGAGACATGTGCCAGGTCTGTTTAGTGAGCCAGAGGCTCTCTACCTCTGCACTCTTGCATTGGGAATAAAGCTCTCATCAGCGGTGGGGGAAATGGGGTTCCTTTGAAGGCTTCTCTTGTACCACAGCACACATCTCACCTTACTGGGGAGTGCCAGAGAGAAAGAGAGATTCTCAGTCTATTTTGGTTCTGCACTTTTGCTCCTGGAAGCGAAATTGGTTAAGCTCCATTTAGAGCATGCTGTGTGGCGAGGCAGTTCCCAAAGCTAGGTAGCAAAAATATTCCGCCTCCGCCTCCACCTTCTCCTGGCATTCTGACCTGGCAAACTGCATATAGTTAATTAAAGGACCTGTCAGGGCCGTGGGGAGGGAGGGGATGCAAGAAGTTTAAGAAGGTTGCAGGACGTTTAGCAGGATTGCATAATTAAGCAATTGAACGAGGCAGTCGGTGCTGCTGGGTTCTGATTCTCTCTTGCACATAGCCTTCCTGCAGGTTGGGGAGAAAATGTGTCTCTACAGAATTAACGCTGCAATCGACCTGTATCTCCTGAATTTATGACATTTGCATGGGAAAGATGATCGTGTAACAGGGGTAGTTGGACAGATTTTATTTTATTTTATTTATGTTTTGTTGAATGAATAAATAAATGAATATATATATAAAAAATCCTAACTGCTATTTTATTTATATATTGTTGTTGTTTTTTATCCTGGTCTGTGACCGTAATAAAGTTCATTCATTCATTCATTCATTCATTCATTTGTTTTGTTTTGTTTTGTTTTGTTTTGTTTTGTGTTGTTTTTATTATCCCCAAGCATTGGTCATGCAGGCTAGGGCAAAAAATATGCTTTTAAAAGCATACTTGAGAGATTCAGAATCACTTGTTTCAATTTTTTAAAAAAATGTTTTAGAATATTCAATAAATGCAGATTTTTGGTGCAGATTATTATTATTTTTAATCCACATGATAATGCAGGAATGGGATGAAACTGGTGCATAGGAGAACACTTTGAAAGTAACGCAGACATAATGTGCCCTCTTTGAGCAGGGACGTACCATGCAAATACCTGATTATGTCATGCCTCACAATTGCTTTGAAGCCCGACAATACAGATGAGTCCAGTGAGATTGACCAGTGCCTTATTCTGGGAGGGAGTTATACAGCCCCTCTAAAAGAAGTCTTCCTTGGATAAAGAGGTTTCAGAAAACTAGCATCCAGTTTGCAATATTCCTTTTCAGGGCAAGGTGGTTGAGAAAATGGTGGCTGGCTAGCTGCAGATGTTCCTGAGGGAATATATAAACTATTTAGATCTATTCCAGTCTGGTTTCAGACCAGGTTTCGCCACCGAAAGAGCCCTGATTGATTACCTCTATTAGGAGAGAGCTGGAGGAGTGTAACCCTATTGGTTCTCCTTGACATCTCAGTTGCTTTTGACACCATGGCACTGGCCATGGTGTCTTCTTCTGGAGCAGCTCAGGGAGGTGGGTATTGGAGGTCCTGTACTACAGGGCTTCGCCCCTACTTACGGGAACAAGAATGCTGAATGTTGACCAAGCTAGTTGTTTATTCACTATGCATTTGGACAGCTCTTGAGATATCATGGCCAAATTTTGCATGACGGTTCCTGAGATCAAGGAGCAGGTTTTTGTCTCTGTTTGGATACAATTTTGATTTAAGATGGTGGACTGAAGCGTTCAAAACCAAACTGATTTTGACCACTGGTTTCAAAACTGCACAGTCCTTTTCTTTTTCCAGGAATTCCTTAGCAACGTCGGGTGCAGAGCTTCTAGTAAGTAAATAAATATGACATGTGTTTAGCATTGACCAACTGAAGAGGTCCCAAGTGGTCAGGAATTAATTCCTCTTTGTTTGACTCTTATTACTTTGCCCTCACTTCTTAATTTCAATCCATCTGCTATTTCCTCCTCTCAAATCAGATGCAGAGAGATCTTGGCCGGCCGGCCACAGAATCAGGCTACAATAGTCACACCCAGTAGAAAACAATGAAAAACATGCCAGGCCAATGAGTTTGTACTAATGATGGCAAGTGGTCCCTTTCTTTCTCACGCTCATTTTGCACCACGCAGGACTGTCAGAACGATGAAACGCTTCCAGACGGCCGAAGGCCTTGCTTTGAAAGCAATAGCCAATTAAACTGAATTTTGCATGATGTCAATAGAAGTCTCATTCTGAGGATATTGCACGACAAAAGCAGGCACCAGCCTGCTTAATAAGTCAGACAAATCACACACTGGAAAATCATTTCAAAATGGATCTCCTGCCGACACGGCTTATAAAACTATCATCAACAGCTTTTCGAAGGGTGTAGTTACAGTTAATGAAAAATTAGTCTCTCTCTCTCTCTCTCTCTCTCTCTCTGTGTGTGTGTGTGTGTGTGTTATGTGTACAGATAAATCTGCCCTTGCATTCCTCCCTTCCTAAAAGCACACACACATAAAACATTTTTAAACTAGATTGCCGGAAACAAGTGTGCTAAATCATAAGCATAAAGCAAGTATTGTCAATTTACTTATGTAAGCATGTGTGAGAGAGAGGTGGAGTCTTACTGAAGCAATTCTGGGGTGACCTCCTGTGTGAAGAAATAAATTCCAAAATTAATGTTTATTGGGAGCTTAATGCATTTCAGGGAAGGAAACATTTTTAAGGGCACTGAAAAATTCAAACAGATGATTGACACAAAATAAAATGGAGTGAAATATATTCTCCTGAATCCATTTAAAGATACTGAGTTGTATCCAGTGCTTGTGCTACACAGAGTAGACCCATTGAACTTAATGAACCTTAGATATGTCTATTACCTGTAATGAGTTTGAGTAGGGCTAATATTGACTACAACCCATAAAGTTCTTAATAGATAATTACATCACTTAAAAAAACAACTAATATCAACATATGTTTAACATTACCAAGTTCAAAACAAATTGTTAATAACGAAACAAACCCTAAACAATTTCGGGGAGGGAAAGGGAGAGCTAAACTATAAATAAGATATTGTATATATATACACACATGGCTTTTTTTGCAGTTGGAGCTCACAGGAGGTAAGTTTGACACCTCTCAGATGGGCATCATTGCCATTCTAAAAGAACAAGGGTGAAGTTCATGATGAGCTCCAGCACCTGTTTTTCTAGAAAAAGAGCATTGTATACACACATTATATCTAGCATGAAAATAGGTGTAAAAGGTAAACTAATATTTTTTAGCAATGCTTCTAACACACCAAGGATAATGCAGTAGCTCCTGCTACAGAAAACATTCAGTGTGGAATTCGTCATAATAAAATGACCTCTAGTTTGGTGACAGTCTGGAAGCTTGCTTATACCTTTTAAGGACCCACAATTTAAGGGCTAAGGAATGACATTTCTAGCTTTTCAGTGACTGTTTGGGGCACGTGGATATTCTAGTCCACACCAGTGACTCGGAGTAGGGGGCTGTATGGCCTAGTCTTTAATAACTGGAGACCGCCTTAACCAATATAGACCCACTCAGCAACCTCGATCTGACACTTTTAATGAGTCCCACCCAATCTTTGTTCTGTATGTGTAAGGAACTGATCGTTCCTACATTCTGGGTAGGAATGGCCACTGCATATCGTAAGAACATAACAAGAGGCTCCTGGATCAGGCCAGTGGCTCATCCTGTGCTCACAGTCTCTGGCGGAGGAAGGGGGGTGCGATAGGTGTGGTGTGCCCTGGGGGTCATCCCTGAGGGGGAGTGACAAAAAGGCACACCGCGGGGAGCTCGCCCTGCCGCTCCTGTGTGCAGTGGCTTGAGCGCGGAGGACGGCTCTGCCCCCGTGCAGCTCATGGTGGATCGACCCCACCTGTGCAGCTCGCCCTCCACCCCCCAGGTGCATATGGCCGCCCATGCAACTAACTCCGCCACTGCTCACAGTGGCCCCCCAGATGAACCAATGGGAAGCCCCAAAACTAGACCTGAGCACAGCAGCATTCTCCCTTGGTTTCCAGCAACTGGTATTCAGAAACAATCCACCTTTGACTGGGGAGGCAGAGCATAGCCATTATGGCTGGTAGCCATCGATAGCCTTCCCCTCCACGAATTTGTCTAATCCTCTTTTAAAGCCACTCAAGTCGGTGGCCATCACTGCCTCCTGGGGAAACGAGTTCCAAAGTTTAGCTACACTCCGTGTGAATACTTCCTTTTGTCCTTCCAATATTCAGCTTTTTGGGATGCCCATGAGTTCTAGCGTTGTGAGAGAGGGAGGAAGACCAGATCCCCCACCGCCCAGCCCATATTTTCCAGTGCGTTTCTCCGTTACTTTGCTAGCCACAAAACGAAACAATGATTTCTCATCCTATCCACTTTGATTTCAGCCCCTCCTGCAAGATAGTGAGGCACCAACCTGCTTCTGACTGATTTAGAAAACACAGACTGTTCATAATCCCAAGGAAGCTGATAATTAAGTTTCTACAATTCAGATCACTTGGGGTAAAAACTTCAGGAAGTCAATGAATCAGTGAGCTATACCGTCGTTTGGCTTACATTCCACCCCACCCCCCAAATGGTTTATTATCAAGGTATATTTCATTGGATTTTTAAATTTTCCTTTTAATAGCTTCTTTTAATTAAGTAGTGGATTCTTCTGCCAGGGTGATGTTGCCATAGCCATAACCTACATGCGTAGCTCTAAATAATGTTGTGGCACCTTATGCATCTTGTGGACTAGAGTCTTACTCAGAAGTGCTGTGGATCACAATGCTGGGATGCTAGGATCACAATAGACTGCATTTGCAGGTCAGTTTATTCTGTTTCCTCTATTAATTTCTGCATTATATTTGAGCTGTCACATGACGAAAAAAACCATTCCAGAAGGTTAGCAGAATATAGTGGAAATTTAGGACTCAGTTCCCTGTTAATTGCTTACAGGTGGGGGGGTGGGCCTTGCAACCACGTTAACCCTGAAAATTGTAGGAGCAAAATGATGAAATTTTGGGCAGTATACTGGCATACAGTTCTTTCTTGCCATTTCGATGGGTGAATCATGGGAGAACAGAAACATGCATATATGGAAAGGGTGTGGGAGTAGCAATTATTATTATTATTATTATTATTATTATTATTATTATTATTAATGTTGTCCAGTTATGCTCACTATTGTGTCACACCACGCCCACTGGTGAAACAATAAGCAAACAAAAACACAGCCATTTTTTGAAATTTTAACCTATCTGGATTTTGAAACGCATTTCTCCAGCCAAGTGACACGTACAAAAATGCATACACCAAGAGACAATGTTTTCACTAATGCATTGTAATGCATGCATTAGTGAAAATAACACGTGAAAATGCATAATCTAAGGGGAAATTGCTTTTCAAAAATGTGTATATCAGACAAAATTGCATACAGATCTGTGTATGGAAGGGAAAATTCAAATTATATTATTATTATTATTATTATTATTCAAATGCTGCTGAATTTTCATGATTTTTTTAATTTAAAAAATTGCAAACTGATTTCAAAATGTGGGAAACTGAATGGAAAACTGAATAAAAAAATGAAATGGACAGATTCACCCAGGGTCAAATAGCATACTGTGTTAAGGGTGGGCAACCTACAACCCACAGAATAATTTTATGTGGCTCTTGACCTAATTTCTTGCAAGTGGAATGGAAGGGGAAAGGGGAAAGGGAAGTGGCAGGAAGCGAAGGAGGGGGTGATACAAGACAGACAAAAGAGAAAGGTGGCTCCACCCACCTTTGACTCATGCCCCACCTACCTTTTACTCCAGCCCCACCCATAGCTCCCCCTTGATTATCCCTGCTCACCTCTGCCTTACATTAAACCACAACAAACTTCAGACAGACCTCATTTGGGATTGGGATCACATTCAGGCAGAGGAAAGGCTTTTCAAATGCACCACCCTCCTACCCAAACATGCCATTGTCCCAAAGAAAATCCCTTCTTCCTTTAAGCAGAGAGGGAGGGTGTAATTGGTGATGACTGGCAGTGGAGAAAGAGAGGATCATGGGTCAACGGAAGTGCAGGTCAACCAGCTCTTTACCTGTCCGACTCTGAAATCATTTCCTCTCTTTCTGTCTGTCTCTCTGACACACAAAATACTGAATGCATAGGTAAGGTAATTGAGCATCCTCCAAGTCAAGGGTAGAGAAGCTTTTTTTCTCAGGTGATGGAGGTGATTTGCCTTGGGTGCAAGACCAGATTCCAAAAGTGGGTGCTTCATCTCACCTTCCTCCTGCCACTCCAATCTCTCTCTCTCTCTCTCTCTCTCTCTCTCTCTCTCTCTCTTTCTCTCTTTCTCTCTTTCTTTCTCTCTTTTCTGGTACTCCTCTCTCTCTCTCTCTCTCTCTCTCTCCACTCATTCTGCATTCACACAGCAGTTTATTCCACTTTCTTCAATGTTTCCCTAACTGTTAAATTTCGTGTTATATCTGAGCTTTCACATGACACCTCTGGAAAAATAAGAAAATGTACCTCAAGGTTAGCATTCATTTCTGTGCTATTTACTTCCAGAAAAGAATCTGGTTGCAAATAACACAGGAATAAGTGCTAAACTTGTGCTATAAGTTAAAGGTAAAGGGACCCCTGACCATTAGGTCCAGTCATGACCGACTCTGGGGTTGTGGCGCTCATCTTGCTTTATTGGCCGAGGGAGCTGGCGTACAGCTTCCGGGTCATGTGGCCAGCATAATGAAGCTGCTTCTGGCGAACCAGAGCAGCGCACAGAAATGCTGTTCACCTTCCCGCCGGAGTGGTACCTATTTATCTACTTGCACTTTGACGTGCTTTCGAACTGCTAGGTTGGTAGGAGCAGGAACCGAACAACGGAAGCTCACCCCGTCTCAGGGATTCGAACTGCCAACCTTCTGATTGGCAAGTCCTAAGCTCTTTGGTTTAGACCACAGCACCACCTATATCTGAAGGTGGCTTTTATGTCATGTGAAAGCTCAGTCTCTGGTGGCGGTGGAAGGCCACCATTTCATGGTTCACCTCAGGTGCCAAAATGGCTGGGAACAGCCCTGGAATTGGAATATGGACCATTTGCCCAATAGTACCTGAGCATTTATCTTTTCAGACACATTGCTTTCTGCATGACTTCAATGTCCATACTCCAATTCTGGAGTATGACGTGGTATTAGAAGCACATGGCTGCCAGGCCCCAACCATCCTGTTACTGGATGCAACCTTGAAACCACACAATACTGTGACCCAACTGTGATCCTGGAACTAATAATAAATTATCTGGGCATGTTCTGTACTGGAACAGCCTCTGGTTGTGTGAGTAGAAGGTCACAAATACACACAAGATTTGGATGAATCTGGCAGCCTTGGTTCCTCTGACTTTTTCATTTTTGCAACCTACAGTTCAGTCCTCCATGCTTCTACATCATTCATGATAGGCACACAAACATATATACATTTATAGATATAGATATATTTAAATGTCCTCATGGAAATTCTCCCGCAATTCAGTGGACATACAGATTTTGCAAGAATGCCTGTTCGTATATTATTTCATGAAAATATGCATTTTTTTATGCAGACGTTCCCCTAATAAACCCATGGCTGTACCTCTTAAACTTTTGGGAGGGCAGGGGCAGAATACTGCATTGCAAAATTTGGAGACGTATGAGGGCTCATCCAGATTTGTCTTTGCCCCGTAGTTTTCCCCCGGGGAAGCCTACACTTTAGTGATAAATCGGAGCAAATGTTAACTGAGTTTTCTCTGGGTTGACATTTGCTCTGATTTATCGCTAAAGAGTGGGTTCTCCTGGGGAAAGTGGTGATGCAAGGGCTCAACTGCTGGGACCCATGCTTTCTAGACAAAGGACAGGTGGAAGTGTGGACGAGCTCGGAGTTTCCAGCGATTGTGCTTTTGCTCATGCAGTGGATGAATTAGTTGGTCTGCATTAAAATGTGATGCCAACTGAATTTATTCCCTGCACCCACCACAAAAAGTATGATCACAATTGGAAAACCCAGACAAGTCGGTCCATCCACCCTGGAAACTCATGCTCACAGCATAAAAGATGTCCCAAAAATATTTTTGTGTGTGAACACAATGGGCATAAATATATCCAAAAATATTTTCTCGTGAACTCAGTTCCTGCCAGGCAGGAGATCTTTGATATGGAGAGGAAAGGGTGGGATTTGGGGATCAAGTAATGAAATAAGGATCTGAAATCAAGTCAGGGGTGTTGGATCTTCAGAATGGAAAGACCGCAGCCACTCCCCCCCCCCCCAGCCACCAACCCTCCTTCTGAAAGGTGGCATTTGGAAACAATAATGCCAGTACCAAGCCTCCGCATTGCTTGGCACAGACCTGGCAGCGCGGACAGCATCGTTCTGGAGCCAAGGACAAATTGGCCTCGTGTGGCCCATAGTTCAAACCCACCCAGCATCAGGGGAGAAAAAACGCACTCTGCAAATCACAGCATGCTGTTACGTAAACAGGAGCAGAGCCTCCCAGCCAGAGTCAGGCTGGCATGATGAGTTTGGGCAGCTCACAGGCACCATGCCCCTCAAGGAGACAGAGCAAGTGCACTGCCCCAAGCCCCGGGGTCAAAGTGATGGGCCCCTTTGTTTACCTGGCCTCAGCTCCCTTCAGAACCATCTTTCCAGAAGGGTGGACTGTGAGAAGCAACGTCGACCACTCAGCACAGGCCATGCCAGGATATTCGGAGCCAAAGGAACGCAGGTCACCATGATCTCATGCAAATTCCCCGAGACACCCTCCTCTCTCCCACTTATCTCTACCAGCTTGGAAACTGCAGGTGTGGTGCCTGCGGAAAAGCTGCAGGAAAGGGCAGCGAAAAAATGATCAAGGGGATGCAGCAACTCAAATGTTCCGGCGTTTTAGGCTTTTTCGCTTGGGGAAAAGAAAGACACAATGGGGTGGGGGTGGGGGGACAACAGCACATAATCCAGGTGGGTAAAATGGTGCCCGGCATGAAGAAAGTAGAAAGGAAGGCATTGCCTCCCCACCCCATAATACCAATACCAGAAACCAACGGGGTCACCCCGCAAAGCTGAGATTCAAGGCAGCAGGTAATTAGACTGCAGAATTTGCTGCCACAAGATGTGGCGGTCACCAGCTTAGATAGCCTCAAAAGGGGGTTGAGTAAATTCACGGAGGAGAAGTCTATCAGTGTCTATGATAGTCCCAATGGCTACGGACAGCCTCCAAGATCACAGGAAGCATGTCCCTGAAGACCAGTCTCTAGAGAACAGCAGAGGGGGAGCTGCTGCTCTCATGTGCTGCTTGTGGGGGAACAGGTTGTGACCCTAGATAGGCTGAATAGCCCTCTGCCCTTGTGGTTCCCCTGCAGCTCTCTAATAGGCCTTGAGTTTGATCCAGCAGGGCTCATCTGAGGCGCCCATCCTCCCTGTCACAATCCCTTTTCTGCCAGCAGTCTTTGACCTGACATGCTCTCTCCGTGTGGCTGTGGTTAATGTAGCTTCAGAGTTGGCGTGTGAGAGAGAGCAGCTAGGGAGCTGGGAGGGTTGTGGGAGCTGCTTTGCCCTGCCGTGACCTCCTTGTGATCTCTCAGCCACCAGGGGAAGCAGGTAAGAACCGTGGGTGATGATCCCCCTGTCTCTAGGTGGCAGGGAAACACAACTGCACTTGTGATCCTGAAGGTCTAGGCCAGGGTAGAAGAGGGGGACGAGTACAGGAGAGGGGCATATCTTCTTTAACAAGCACATGGAGGCAGGTGAGGACCCAAGGAGAGCACTGCTGGGTCAGACCAAAGGGCTATCGAATTCTACATCCTGTCTCCCACAATGATCAATCCGATGGCTCTGGGAAGCCCATAGGCAAAGCATGAAGACAACAACCCTCCTTCACTGCTATTCACAAGAGCATAAGAAGAGCTTTTTTGGATCAGACCAAGCACCCATCCTATCCAGCATCTTGTCTCTGCCAGGGGTCATCCAGATGCCCATGGGATGGCCCAACCATCCATCCCCCATTGTCCTCACCACCCCCCAGCAACTGAAATTTAGAGGTATGCTTCCCCTGAACCTATAGGTTGCTTTTAGCATCAATAAATGCTAAAATAAATAGCATTAATAGAATTATCCTACATGAATTTATTGATTCATAAATTGTAGAGTTGAAAGGGACCACAAGGGTCACAAGGCCGCCTGGCTTTTGGTTTGGACTCAGTCTGACCCTTATGTTTCCCTCCCCTTATGGTTTTGATCTATCGGCTACTTTTAAAATGAGGCTGCATTTTAAATTGCATTTTAACCTGTATTTTAAATTGGTTTTTTTCTTTTCCTATTATGTTTTTACTTTCATTTTACTGGTGTTAGATGCCCTGAGCCCGGCTCTGGCCGGGGAGGCCGGGGTATAAATAAAATTTATCATCATCATCATCATCTAGTCCAAATGCAGTAAATAATTTGCCCAATGTGGGGCGTGAACCCACAACTCTAAGATTAAGAGTCTCATGCTCTAATGACAAAGCTATCCCAGCTTTTTACCTTTGTAAGAGAGACTTGTAGCAGTTAGAGTCATGGCAAGGACTGGGGAGACTCAGGGTCACATCCCAATGAAGCCACAAGGTTCACTGGATGACTTTAGGCTAACTTCTCTCTCTCTCTTTCTCTCTCTCTCTCTGTCTAACCTACCTCACAAGGGTGTTGTAAGGGTAAAGTAAAAGGAAGGAAATCCATGTACTTTGAAAGAAAGGAGGGATATAAATGAAAACAGATACATTGGTACCTTGGATCTCGAACTTAATCCATTCCAGAATTCCATTCGATTCCCAAAATGTTTCAAAAACCAAAGTGCGGCTTCCAATTGGCCCCAGGAGCTTCCTGCACTCAATTGGAAGCCGAGGAAGCTGCATCGGACGTTCAGCTTCCGAAAAACGTTCGCAAACCGGAACACTCACTTCTGGGTTTGCGGCGTTCGTGAGCCAAACCATTCAGGAACCAAGGTACCACTGTAAATGAATGCAAAATCAGGTAGGGGATTTGGAAGTACAGTTGTGGCACACAATTGACAGGAATAAGGAGAGATGGGCAGCTCTACCAAGAGGCATGCTGTAGCTCAGCTTTTGCTAACCTGGTGCCCTTCAGATGCTGGCTGGGGCTGATGGGAGTTGTAGCACCAAAAAACATCTGGAGGGCACCAGGTTGGTGAAAGCTTCTGTAGGTGAAGAGGTGCAGAGACTTTGCTGTAGTTGCTGGAGAGGAGGAGTGGAAGAACTCAGGCTAACAGCACCAGACTTTACAGAACTGGTCAGTACTCTGGCTAGTTATCCATCTACCTGATGTTCGCTCTAAGGCCCCACAGAATGATCCTGGATGTCTTCTGGAGATGAGTCAAGGAAAAGCACAGAGGTCAACAGTGGAATGTGAACATGCCAGTGGATGGGCACTTATTTAAAGTCCAGGGAAGTTGGCCATGCAGAGTCAGCCGCTCCACTGCAGGAGCTGGTTCTGCCATAGTTTCACAAGTAGGCATGCGTCATGGTGGAAGATGCAGGTGGTCTTGACAGTATCAGAGGGGTCAGCAGAAATGGGCAGTTGCTCTAGAACCAACAATGCCAGCCAAGACAGGCTGGCACTAGAGGTGGCCTCAGATCAACCCCCCCCCCCCTGCTGATCCCCAAAAGCCAAGGGCACTGAAACCAGCATCTGGGCAAAGGAACCAGCAACAATGTTGTGGGACAGTCTCCTCCTAAAGCATAGAGGTGATGAGCAGGTGTGTCCTGTCTGCCTCCCCTTCCTAGACTTTTCTACGCAACAAAGTCCATCTTTTAAGACGCCCAGCAACCCACCCTCTTCCTCTTCTCAGCTCAGAGACCACAAACGCCCACTGCACTCACGGAAAACTGGGGCATCCTGTCTGCACACACCTTGCCACTGCTGGCGCCCTGAGCTGGGCACTCTTCATTATTTACAGAGCGGGAGTTCCCGATGTCCTTCTCCTCAGCTGTGTGGCGAAGGACCGTAGCTCCCTGAGCCCCTGCCTTGCAACAAAAGGTCCCTGGTTCAAATCCCGTCATCTCCTTCCCGAAACCCAGTCAGTGTGGGCAACGCTGAGCTGGAGGGACAAGCGGTCTCGGGCAGGTTCCCGGGTCGCTGTTCCCAAACCTCCAGGAGCATCAAACTCTGGGAGACCCTCCCCAGCAGTGCAGGAGGAAGTTTGCTGGGCGACAAGCCCTCGCGAGCGCCCAGCCCACCCGCGCCAGCCGGCACCTGAGGCAAGGGCTGCCTCTCCGCGCTGCTCCCGGGCTCTTACCTTCGCTGGTGGTGGCCGCGAGGCAGGCGGCGCAGGAGGCGAGGAAGGCGGCCAAGGAGGCTGCGCGCTCCGCCGGGGTCCTGGCCATAGTGCACCGGGGGCAGCCCGGCGGGCCAGAGCGAGCGCCCTGGCTGCGTGCTGTCAGCGGAGCCCCGGCGCCTCCGACTGCACTTTCCCCACATTTGCTCCCATCCACACTCCGGCAGCGCTGCGCGCGGGAGGAGGGGGCGAGGCGCCCGGCTGCCTGTCACGGCGCAGAAGCCAATTGGATTTGCAGCCTCGCCAAAGTTCCCCCTTCCCTCCTCCCCCCCCACCCTCCTCTCCTCCCCATCCGCCACCTCCCACCCACCCCGATCGCTGGGCCAGGAAATCATCTCCTTCCGCGCAGCCAGGGAGCGGGGTGGGCACCTTTGGTCAAACACCGCCTGCGCCTCCTGCATCTCGCCTCCTCTGCGCGCAGCTCCAAAAAGAAGCCCTCGGTCCTTTGCGCCTTCCGCATGGCAGGTTGTTTGCGGTTGCTAGGGAACCGAGCCTGGACAGCCTGGTGCCCGGTTTCCCCTTCCCGGACCCTCGGGCTGGGTGGATGCTCAAGTGAGGGGAAGGGGCTGCTGGACAGGTCCCGGACCCAGACTCTTGGACGGGAAGGCTGCAAAAAGCTGGCTAGAATGGCACGGGTGGATTTGTCGATTGCAGTTCCTCATCCCTTCCGCCCCCAGTCTGAAGTTTGGTTCTGTACATTTAAGCATCAGTTTATGGTTTGTTTGTTTATTTGTTTGTTTGTTTGTTTCAGTGCACATTTCTCCTGATCTGCCTCCTTTCTTGCAAGCAATTGGTATAATGCGTTTTGCGTATTGTTTTCACGAAATTCTTACTACAATCACCCTAAGGTCCTGGGGTGGGTTACAACAATTTAAACGATTAAAACACAGCACTGATATTAAATCACAATATATACACAATATTGGACAGGACTCTCGTGATCTTAACACCCAAGATCAGAAAGGAGGCAGTCTTTCATAGATTTGGGACCTGAGTCATTTATATGCATTTTATACATACACCCACCGAGGGGGTGGATCTCCTATGAAACTAATGGAGATTACGCTTTACCACCCCTAATCCTGAAGCGACCTCAGAAGTGACTTTGGTTTTTAAAAGATATGTCTAGTAAAACCAATTTCAGTTGCACAACTCAAATTGATCATTATTTTTTGTTGTTGTATATATTTCAACAATCCCAAAGTCTGAGAGTCAGTTGCCTTTCCTCTCAACTAAGCCCCAGACTCCCCCCCCCCTACTTCAGGACTCCACATTTTCTTATCTCTCATGAAAATCAGCAAAATGTTGATTTAGTAGGTTTTCTGCTCAGCCTTAAAATACATCTTTAAAATGGCAAATTCACAGCACCATGTGATGATATATAAGGTAAAAACTAAAGTGTATAATTAAAACGAGCAAATCACATTTTAAACCAGAAGTAACACATCTGTTTCTAATCAAGTTCAGCTTATTGATCTGGAAGTATAATTTTAAGAATTCTGTCCTGAGTGATAAAATGTTTGTTGTCCTCCAGTTCCTGACCTTCAGCAGAGGTAGAGAACCTTTCCTCAGTCCCTAGGCTTCACTCGCCCATGGGGAACCTACTAGGGATTGACTATGGGATTGGGGTCCCCTTCATCAGGGGATGAAAAAGAGGGAAGAGGGACAGAGGGGAAATTGCATGCAAATCAAGCCCCATGCAAATCAAGTCAATAAAGTGAGTCCATAGTGGCTATCAGAGGCCCTCTGGTTTGAGGTAATCACACTATCACCCTCTGACTCCATTGGAGTAAAAGGCTGCTGGAGCGGTTGAGGTGGTCCCTTCCCAGAGTGTGCAGCTGGGGTGGAACTTCTGCTCCTACATAAGGCTCAATCTAAAGCTGAAGCAACATCAGAGGGTGAGGCCAGGCCTCTGATGAGGTCAAGGCTTGCATCACAACACTGGGCAACCAATTCATGGGCGTCTAAACAGGGCTGTGCACCACCAGAGCTGTCCAAATTCCAGAACTCAAACCAAACTGGGCCAATTTGGATCAATGCAGGATTCAGCTGGGTCAGGTTGAGGCAGCCACAGATTGAAGCAGGTCTGCCCTGAATCATCCAGGGCTTTTAAAAGGGCCTGTTCTGGCAGGTGGGGAAGAGAGAGAAGAGAAAATGCCATGATCTCCATTTTCTATCCCTCCCAACTGCATGCTCTATTAAACACTGTCCAAGGCCCCTGAACTGAGTTGAAGCCAGATTTGGGTTGGGTCAGCACCAGTTTGGAGTGGGTCAGGTTGGGGCCAGTCTGAAGCACCAGGGGGCTTTTGCAAAACTCCTACTTCTACTATAACTGCATCTTGCCCCTTTCACTGCCTCTTCTTCGAAAGGCTGGGTAGAGCATCTGCACACTGCCTGTTGCAGAGGAGGATGCTGTCGCTATTTGACACCAGACTTCTGTTTTGTTTTGTTTCCCAGGAAGCTTTGGGAACACAGTTCTCATTGATGAAAGAGTGACCATAAATAGAGTTGGGTTTCTTTAGGGTTTTTGCTTCTTTTATCATTTCCCACATAGCAATGAATCCCCGTGGTCTTAACTCAGAGTCCTAGCCAGGATGACTAATCTGATCAGATTCTGGAATTGCAGAAAAGGCAGATCTTCTAGTGCAGAGGTGTGGGATCTCCTTCCTTGGACCATTTGACCACACCCTTCAACATTTCACAGATGGCAATATGAATGATCTTGTAAGACCTCTGTCCTCATACTACAGATCATTGCATTGTGCGAGTTCAACCCCCCCCCTTTCCTCTTAACTTTGTTGGATCCAGGATATAAAGGCGTCTGAGGCACAGCACCACGCGTGGACCTGTCTAACCCAGAAGAGACAGGGCGTACAAGCTGAGAATTCTCTTGGGTTGCATCTGATCTTCATGGCCACTTTGTACCAAGTGGAAATGCTAAGACAGTAAGAGTGATGGGCCCTGTTGCTGGTCTTGTGTCAAGGAACTGCACATGAGCCAGGTCAACCACAGGGCTGGCACACAAGTGGCAGGCACAGAATGTAATTAGCTCTTTATTAACAGAAAATAACAACACAGAAGAGTCCTCTGGTTTGCCTGTATCCAGCTAAGATGGTACTGAAACTGACCACTAGCTCCAGCCTCCCCCCTCTAGCCTCTCACTTTGAATCCCTCCCAAGAAGATGAAGGGGGTGAGATCCTCCTCCTCTAGGCCTGTCTGGCCTATTGCTCAATAACTTGCAGCACTCTCCTCATTCGGGGTGTCAGAGGGGGAGGTGAGCCACCAGGGCTGGAACTGTCCTGCTGCTATGTAGCAGGGCCAACCTCTGACTCCTCTCTATCTGAGTCTGTGTTCAAACAGTGACTCTCAGCTTCTAACTCTGTCTTGGAAGACCCTCCTTCTCCTGAACCCTCTTGATCTCTCAAACTCTCTGCTTCTAGCCCCTCCTGGCTCATCCCTTCTGAAGACTGCTCTTCAATGTCCCACCACCAGGATCCAGGATCTTAGTTGTCTTCTTCTGTGCCCTCCTTAGGGGGTTCTTGGGCAGGTGGCTCCCACCACACTTCCTGACAAATGACCAAGTTTGCCACGTTCTGGAGCCAGCTCTGCCTACTATATGTTGCTAAGCCATCTCTGATCCATGCTTTATTTCAGGGATGGGGAACCTACTTCAGCCTGAGTGCTGCATTATCTTCAGGGCCACCTTCCCAAGTCCTCGTGGCAGTGGTGGGTGGGGCCAGAGACAAATGTATATTTTATCTTTGTTCAGCACACTAGTTTCTGCAAACACCCCTTTCCATCCAGGCAAGCAAGAATCACTATCGGAGTTCAAGGACATATTCCAGGCAGAACAATGCAAAGCTGGGCTGGTGAGGGGTGTGGCCTCAGGAGACAAGGCATGGTTGGGGGCGGTGTCCTGCAGGAGGAGGATGTGAAGCAGGGCTGGGGAGGCGAGGGGCCTGGGGGAGGTCCTTAGGGCTAGAGGGAGAGGCCTGAGGCACTGGGCTTGAGGTTCCTCACAGCTGACCTAGATAAAGCAGTGGCCAGAAATGGCACGAGGCAGCTTCCTCGGTCCCAGCCAAACCCAGCTAGAAATTTCAGAAGCTGCCGTCTATTTGAGATCCATCCATAATGCAGAGCTATTAACTTTAAACTGTTGTCTTTGCTGCCGGGCCTTTGCTCACGCTGCGAATGCAAATATCAGCGAGACCCAAATTACACAGAGATGTGCATAATCCCTTTGAAAGCAATTGGTAAAAGTACACGCTCTGTGCAGAGCACCGTTCCCTTGGCCCAGGCAAATTATAACTAAGGGCTGGGCTACGCCTTATGGTTACCGGGGTTGACAAACCATCACAGCTCTGCTTGTCTGGAACTCAGAGGGCAGGCTGAAGGCAAGACAACCCCCCAACAGGTTAGGAGAATTGGTGGGGCATAAAGATGTCCTTACATGGAAGGAGGAGCTGTGGACTGGTCACCGTTCTTCTACTCACTCACCCTGGTTACCTCTTCTTTGGGGTTTAATCTGCCAGGGGTTACTTACCAGCAGTGGGTGGGACCAGAGATTAAAGTAAGTGTGGCCAAAACCATTGGAGGCGGGGCAGGCTGAAGAGGGGAGAGGTCACATATTCACTCTCTCCTTCAGCTAGAAATTGGAATGGGAGGAGAAACAAAATATTAGGAGAGAGAGAGAAAGAGGAGAGAGAGAGAATGGGCGCATTCACACAATGCATTTAACAAATTTATTGACAGCTGCACAAATTATGATGGCTAGGAAGTGGAAGGGGCAAGCAGAATATAAAATGGATGAATGGTATAAAGAGGTGTGGGATATAGCTATTAATGAGAAATTAACATGTGCCATTAAGGCAAGGCAGGGAATATGCAGGATAAATGATTTCGAGGAGATATGGAAGGTGTTTGTAGAATTTGTATTGTTAAAACGGAAAGGGGTCAAACCACCGCAAGAGGTGTTGACGTTTTGGGGGGTTGGATAGTTACAGGAATAGTCTCAGTGGTGGGGTGCACATTTTTTTTCTTATTTATTT